CTCCTCCCTCGTCTTGCAAGTTTTTCATTACGTGAGCGACCTGTTTTTAAGGCTTAATATTACTAACGTAGGTTTGATCCAGGACACTACTAATCTAGCAGAGCCCATAGTCAGGCTCCTCAGCTCTTTGGGTTGGTGAATAAGGCAGCTTGAACTATATTTCAAAGTGGTGAATCAACCCCGAAATAAAAATTGACAGACTTTATAGTACCGGCGCCAAGTTTGCTGACTGGACAGATACGGCTGTACTGTAGTAGCACCCAGCTGTTGCACCTTGTCTCCCACGGCTGAGGACGACAGTGTGGAGGAGGAGGAGGCTGGTTGGTGATAGATATACGGATTAACAGATCAATCTTGGCTTGTGTTGTGGAAGAAGACTTGGCGTTCCAGATCTCCCCCAGTAAGAAACCTGTATTACTACTTATATCTGGGTAAAGTCTTCCTCTTACGATACTGGAAGCCACCACAAGAAGAATACTCCTCCCGTATTTACATACTTAATATTCAGAGATTACTATATAATTGTATTGATAATTCTTAATGTATTACGGTATCTGAGTCAAAGAACCACTTTATACTGAAGCTCAGAATAACTTCCTGGCGCCCAGTGAAGTCTTCATGAAAAAAGTAAGTTTTCTTTCCTTGCGTTCCAATTTTTTAATGTCTGCCCCCCCCACCCCCCTTCATGCACCCCAAGCCTGGTGTCCCGGATATGAACACTGTCATGCCCATGGCCTGAGGGACCCTGCGGCATGGTCATAACGAAGTGGGCAGCGACCGGCTGTCATACACAAACCGGTCTGGGTCGTGGTGCGTCCCCCCCTGCTAACTTGCCGGGTTCCTCTCACCTCCCACCTGTCCCCACCACACTCACCCACCATACTCACCCGCCACACTCCCCTGGACACGAATTCTCCAAAGTCTGTACGACACAAAGATAGATTCATAATTGCCCTAATGTTAATTTCCCCCAGGCACTGTAGACAAATCTAACTGGCTGAAACTTTGACACAAAGTTAAAGTCTTATAAGCTTATACAGTTCATCCTAACTGGTGACGGAGGAAGACTTATCGAACAGCTTCCTCTTCCTGTGGTACTGAAGATGTGCAAACGCATCTACAGTAACTAACCCAGAGATGCGTTTTCATAACTCCAAGTGAAAAAAATAGCTAAATACTGACCGTAATCCTGTCACCTAAACACATGGTGAAACACACGAGCCTCACTGTCTAAACATAAATAATGTTCCCAAGACCTTTCCCCAGCAATGGTCAGTTGTTCAAGTATAACTCGGCAATCGTCACCAGGGTCATGATTTGCTCTATACCAATTACTGTACATACCTGTACTCTACTGTATTTAACATTCGTCTTATTTTATTGTCTCTCAATTATGCAATACATCCAATAAGGACAAACTGGGATTGCGTTTAAAATACCGTATTATATACAGTATAGCTACACACACTTCAATAGACTGAAGGGGTCGTTCGCTCCTGACTATAATAGAGATGGGTCCCAAGGTAACCGGGTGGTGGCGCTCACTCAGACTCGAGCAAGAAGTCCCGGTTCATTGTGACTGTATACGTCCAAGTCTATGGTGGACTATGTGGGTAGTGTATCTGTACATAAAACCTTGGCACTGCATGATCAGGACCTTGAGTTTCTATTGTTGAGATGAATCGAGCAAGGAGGGGCGTTGTTGTCACAGCCTTGAGTACTGTACTGTCGCTTTTCACTCACACACACACAACTAGCGGCTCCTGGGTTTAGGGTGGTCACTGGTCAGAAAACACTGGCCGATTCCTCCTCACTGTCGCCGAGGTCACCATAAATTGCTCACGCGCGCACACGCACACACATTTCCTTTGCCAAATCACCCAAATATTGTTTTTAAATCGTTGTCTGTCCCAAAATGACCATCAATCCATAATGTAAACCGGAACACTTTAGACTTCTAACAACTTAGAAGGGTTCAAGTAGGTAAAAAAACCACCAATACACATTTCCAAGAGAGAACTTACTCTCAACATTTCTACCAAATTTCGTTAAATCTGAATTCAAAACTGGAGCAGCGTGTAGAAGTGGTCTCGAGGTGGTGTGGTATCAGTCCCTGTACACAGACCCAAATTAGATGCAACTTTCATACATACACGAGAAAATGTTATTAATAATGGCTTTGCTTAAACAATGAACAAAACATGTCTCCATAATCGACAACAGGTGAATTCCAAAGTGTCAGGTGTGATCGTGTGGGAGGTATTTAAAACAACATTGTTATACGGTAAATAGAACCACGCTACATTGTCTACCAACACCAACTTCTGCCAGTCCTCCACCCAAACCCTAACCTGGACAAGTCTAACCACAAAAATCTACTGACATTTTTAGTATGAGCAACGATCAAAGAAATATAATTGAAAAGTATTTTTTAAGAGAAAATCAGACTTTCCCTAGTGATTAAAACAAAGGCCACTTTAACACAATAATAAAAAAAATTATGTAGATGAACGCAATATAAGTAATAATAGTAGACAACTAATAAGTTCTAAACTTATACGGCAGTAGCAACTCTCGGAGGAGGACCACAATATAAAACAGGTACAGTAATTAACCAACATGATTCAATTAATGAAGCGGGTCATACAGGCTGCTGGTTGACTGACACACACCACGTAAATCATCTCTCACTATTATGCAATTCCTAGCTGATGGTCAATGATACCGTCCTGCAACAATGGATGCTCTCGTGTCTATAATTTTGTGTTTATTAAACTATTTTTCTGATTACGGAAGATGGATGGGAGATGACTTGAGTTCAGTAATTCTTTATCCAGTCTGATAAACATCTTGTCCAAAAGAACGTTGGTTTATGCCAGGGCAACTCTTTAGTTTACCAGATGTAAATCGCTAGATTGAAGACGTTAAGTACAGTGCCAGCCAGACATTACCCTGTGCACCGAAAAAAAAACAGTTTACAGTGTGTTTTATCTGCCCATGGGAACAACTTTCACTTGTAATGAACTCGATATATATATATATATATATATATATATATATATATATATATATATATATATATATATATATATATATATATATATATATATATATATATATATATATATATATATATATATATATATAAACGTTCCACAATGTTTAATAGAGACTACACAAGCTTAAAACCATTTAACGGATTACAAACTGCTTACAGTTCAGATGAGGGTAGCCATAAGTTGCTGAGAAAGTTTATGGCTCTATGTTTTCTTCCAGAGCAACATATTCCTGGAATATTCCATATTGAAAGAATCTTTAACTGGATTTTCTTAATTTTGCAAACTATATTGAAAATACATGGATCAATAGTTCTGTTGGCCACCTAGTGCTTGGAGTGTTTGTCAGCAGAGCGTGAAAACCAATAACGATGTGGAAGGATGGCATAATCGCCTCAAGACGAAGGCAAGGCACAAATGTCCCTGTACCTCTTGGTTAAGCTTTTACATGACGAAGCAAGCCTAGTTAAAACGCAAACTCGGTTGGTATCTGAGGGAAAGCTCAAGCGTTACCAACGTCAGACATATATAAAACTACAGGCAAGGATATTCGCTCTATGGGAAGAATATAAAAAAGGCGACCGAAGTGCACAGCGTTTCTTGTCTGCAGTCTCCAGGATGTATGTAGGGTCCATAATGGGGACGGGGGTGATCAGGAAAGGAGTGGGCGGGAACAGGGATCTTTTACGTATTATATAGGTATAATTTTGCATATTTTTATTATTAATCTTCTAAAAGTTATAAATTTGACTGACAACATTTGAATGAAATAAAACTTTCATTAAAGTTAATATTCATTTTGGTTCTTAATACTGATACTCCAATTCAAATAGGCTAATGTCGATATACAACGTCAAACACTCGAAGTTATAATTATATTTTGGTATACTCAGTGGTGACCTCAGCCCAATCGGAAAGTAGGCCGCGATCACCAAAAAGGGCCGAGATCACAGAGTCGAAGTCACCAAGGGCCGACTTCACCTGTATTCGATTCTTCATACACACAACTCAGCGCTGATACTGGTGCTTATGTTCGAGTGTCGACAAAACCAAGTTCATTCATATAAAAGCCTTCACGTTCCTTTATAATCACGATGAACTCTACGAGAATGTAAGTTGCTTCTCCATTCCGTACAGACACACACACACACAAACATACAGATCAATCTTGACTTCTGTTATGGAAGATGATTTGAAGTTACAGATCCCCTCATTATGAACCCTGTATTACAACACACACACAATGATTGCCGACCCGATGGCCAGCTTGTCGTGAATCAGTTTATGGTGTAGAAGCTGCCCACACCACCACCACTCACCCGGCGTCAAGGAGTCGCCCAAGACCGGACACTGACAACTGCACTGGCTAACCCCTACCACGGAATACAATTTACCAATCGATTTATCATTCAGTACCGCATTACTACCGGGGAGACAGAGGTAAATAGCTTAAACATTCCAATGGTCACTTTTGTGTTTACAGTATAGTAAACCTCAACAAGCGTGTTACGTCAATGGCTCATAGATGTGTTGGCTCTTTAAGAAGCTTCCTCCAAAATTTTCACTCACAAAACCCCCAACGAGAATGCGAGTCAATTTTAATCTCCACGTATAGACTGGACAATGCCATTGCTTCATGGATGTGTACAGTATTAGTAAAGAAAAAACATCTTGGCACAGGTTGTTTTAACGTACAGAATTTTGTTAATATAGGTGCTACAGTCTATAAGCACTATTCACTAAATCTTAGTTTCTATACATGACAAAAAATAGTCTTTTAAAATTTAGGTATTTCTTGTATTTGGTCATCGGTTTGGGAGGAGCGTAACTTTGGGGGTAGAGACCGCGCGAACGTCCATTCACCCACACTCGGCTCACTACTATTGCTCTCACATAACACCCTGTTCTTCCAGACCTGTACCACCAGAGCTGAAGTGTACTCACCCATGTTACAAGGGCGCTATTCATGAACTCCTCCACGGAGTCTGATGCCATTTTGAAGACCGCGTCGGCAATTACTAAAATTACATGAAGACACTCACATCATAACACTACAAGCCTCTGTGGGCGTCACTCTCATCAAAGAATACTTTACAATCAAATGAACACAATCTTAATATCTAAACAAATTGATTAAAACACTTTCACATTTTCATTAATTCGTCACTGTTAGAGGGTCGTACACTTCACCGTCTGAGAGGAGCAATGACACTAACCATTTAACAAGAGCACGGGTCAGAATTCCGCATGGACGTTGCCGTTCGCAATGGAAAAAGTTCGTACAGTGTTAAGAATAATTATCAATAACAAGACTAATAACTACAGGCATAGTCATTTTAATTAGTGCTTTGCACGTCTAAATTTTGATATTTCGTAACAGAATTATATGATACAGGAAGAACTTAAAGACTGCAATGTTGTGATCTCAATCAGTGCACACAAAGTATTAGCTGCCAAACGTAGGAACGTTTAACAATGTTGGAGTACAAACATTTTCTGCCTACCACAGTTAAATACATTAATATCCTTGTCAAGTTGTCAACAAGCAAATAATCATGCATGTTTCTTTCTCTTATAATAATTTGTTTCAATTATATAAGTGAATATTTCGGTCACAGATTAGGTTTAAACATCCAGAAATTATGTTCATTGGTGACACAACCAATTAAGCAAATATCAATTACCTCGTGTTAGGATACTCTGTTAGCTTTCATATAAACTTTGATGCTATTAACATTTATTGCTCTATTGGTAATATTCCATTCTTATTGTTTGCACATACTAAAAGAGGTGTCTATATTATAATGTACCTGTAAATTTTCATACATATAAAAAGCACATTTGGAAAACTGAGTACAGTATAATATACCTGTACTTTATGTACTGTAAATTAAAGCAACCAAGCCAATGCAAACCAATCTACCCTAACATAATTCAGTGATATTATACACAAGAATTATATACGTAGTAGTATTCTCTATTCATCATTATTCACATGTATACATAAAAGACCAAAGTAGTACGTCTATAGACCAACAATAAATGTGAGTGGTTGAAGTCACTTGTCAAGCCCGAGTCAGTGTTGCTGCTGCCTTGTGATGACATATTAACACTGATCAAACTGGTCACTGTCAAGTATGGTGCTCGTTGTGCAATTACAGTGCTATAATTCGTGAGAAAACTAGCAGCCACATTTATCATTTTTATTATTTCCAAACGAGAGAGAAGAGCCTTGGACAACTAGTGGCAAAGATTAACAGTTTCTCAATTTATGACACACAAATATCTTTTTTCTTGTCTCACGGTGTTAAGCATAACAACATTAGACTCGTAGGTTTCTTAGTTTATGTAATAAGACCTCTATGATTTTAAAGGAATACTTTTAGTGACTTCAGAAGTAAAAGATGAACTCAAACTGGAAAGTGAAAGCGTTGTCCTTGATAAAGTATTCGGGATGGAAAAAAGCAAATTCATATACAATGAGCCAAGAATTTAGTACTTCAGTTTGATTTAATTCATCTGACCTATTGACTAAAACAGATACTGATAATGATGCAAGAAACATATATACTATCTGTAATCCAAGACCCTCGCTGTGTAACAATGAGAGGTTACTGTCTCACATTATCTCTCAGAGGTACCAAGCAATTTTATAGTTGCCAGTACTGTCTGTTGGGTGCTGGGTCTCGGTCGAAAATACAGTAGTTTTGATAAACCCACTCAGTGTACTGTTAGTTTCGGCCTATGCACAGTATATATTATAAACACACACACACACACACACACACTGTTCCATTAAGATGGTTTTAGTTTTTTATTCAAAATGCTTCAACTGCTGTGGTTATTAAAAACTGTTCATTAATTCTTTCTATCCACAACCAACAACTTTTTTACGTTTCACATTATTCAAAATATTCGATTTAGCTTCATCAAAACCCTCTAAACCTCACGTTACTCAAGCCTGACTTGTTGACCTTTTCCTCCACATTCCTGACTATTCGTGTTTTTTTTCTTGGGTGAAAAATTTCAGGTTATAATCATTGCCCATATATTTATTCACGGACTTTGTTGTGTGGAAATTGAGGCCCCCAGCATCATAAGGGTTACTCGCGTCACAATTTGAAACAGAGAAAACGTCGTTTAAAGTTTTTCCAACTTCTAACATGCATAATGTTTTTGTTTTTTTGAGATACAGCATTCACTTTAAAGCTAAAGGACTGTACTTGCAGATAGTAGGTAGTGCATCATGAAGTAATGTACTGGGTTGTTGCAATGTTGACTTGAAGCAACAAAACTCCCACCCACTTATGGCTTTTTTTACTTTAATCGACATCAGAGTGTAGATCCCTCCACAACAAAAGAGAACTGAGGGAGAGGGAGAGAGGGATTCCGTCTCATTGGCTGGAGGAGCCGTGACATAGATAGCAGACGCTCAGTCATTGGCCAAGACAGGGGAGGAGGCTGCGGGCTGGCTGCTGTGATTGGCCGCCCGTTTCTCTCACTCGCTCACTGACGGGACAAGCGCACTTGACGTGAATGCCAAGCCCATACTTTCTTGTCTGCCACAAATCAATGTTACATCCTATTTTCAAAGGGCTTTCAACCTTATTTACAGCCCTGGGTTTTGCCAGGGTGGTCCGAGTTATCCTTACGATGCGGGGGCCTCAATTGTAGTTTTACATCAGGGATGACCAGTGAAGTTTACAAAAAGCTAAAAAGAATAATTGGACATCTGAACAATGACTGAGACCTGACTTCTGGACACACAGAGGTATGTGTCCTAAAGCAATTTATCCTGACAAAACTGTATTCAAAAATGCATTAATAATTGTAACTCTTTATGCATAACTTTCTTCATTTCAAGAAATTACCATCAAATTACCATCGTGTTCTTTGTCATAAAGATCACTCTAACTGTGACCTGGTATTAAAATTTGCCGAGTACTACAGTAAAGTTATTCTCTGGGAAATAAGTAAGTTGCCCTTACCAGTGAACATACTGTACAAGGAAAATAAACAACTTAATATGAATATAAACTGTTCAATCGAAACTTGCAACTGAGGTCTTGGGTGAGTTGGTAGCAAGGCAGCTGATTGCTTGGCAGATGGACACAAGAAAAATTACTACAATTCTTTACAATCTACTCCTAATAATTTCCACACTTGGGGAAGCAAAAATTAGCACGCTAAATGCTCTGGTAACATAAATGTCTTGAAGAGAACAAGAGATTTCAAGTTTTCAGCAACTTCCTCCACGGGCTACATGACATCTCGTGGCATGTGGGTTTAAACTGTATTCCATTTTCATTATATCCACTTATTCTAAATACATCCTATGTGACTCTGCCATCTTTTTACTTTCTGTATATTCCACCCACACAGGGCCAGTTGGGGTACACCAGATACTGTACAGCGATATACATACTGTAAATCCCTGGAGACTGAAGGGTCATGCTTACACTCCAACCTTACACAATTTTCTTATCACATCACTACTTCAAACAACCTACAAATAAATGGAAACTAACTTTAAGAAGTAGGGGAAGCGAATGTGGTCAAGAGCAGAGTCAGCCAAGTTGCCTCCTTGCATACAGAGGGCATAATAAACAGTGTGCTGTATCCACATAGTCCTGAGCAGGTAGTCAAGGCTATGGGTCCCAGTTTCACTTTTCACATAAAATTATACAAAAATGTAAATAAAAATTCTATTTATACCTAATTTCAAATCATTGATTTGAAAGTCTAACATTAAAAATATTTTTAAAAATTAATTCTTCCTTACAAAGAAAACTTAGGGTACGTATAAAGAATTAAAAATATTTTATTAAAAACTTAAGTACTTACTGAAAATAAAAAAGGTTAAAAAGTACAAATATGAAGAACTTCGTTTAGATGAAAGGAACAAAAAAAATATTTAAATAATGTAATAACCTGGTTAGGAGAGACTCATAATAAAAATTTTACCAAGCTGAAGAAGGAAAAAAAATAGTAACTCCCTTGATGAAGAGACAGCACTTCCACATTAGTTCAACTGTAATGACCGCTGTACAGTAATACAGTAATGTAGTATACTTAACAAAAACAGTCTCATGACTGAAATTTGTTAACCTCCAAAATTGTAGGTGATTTTGATATTGATGACTGTGAACTTTCACCAATTAAAGCACTAGTGTCATGAACTCTAGGCAACAGCAGATCAATTCACACCCTAAATAAACTACACTAAGATACTGCCACTATACAAAACTAATACAGTATTTACATACAGCAAAGAAACTTGCTGTTAAACCACACAAAATAACACTTTATAAACAGCAAATCCCCAATGGGTGTTACGGACTGATTCTACCTGTACTATAATGAAACGGTTCATTTCAAACACAATTTTAAAAAATTATGGAAAAAGTCAAACTCCCACTGAGAGATGGAGATGAGGTCAAATAATTTATAGAAGTGATACATATCCAGTCTGGTCTTGAATGAGCTCACACTCAGTGCTGTCATAACACTCTCTAACAGATTGTTCAAAGAATTCACAGTTTTCACCACAAAAAAGTTTACCCTGACAGTTTTCTGAACTTATGGCTTCTTCAACGTTAAGCTATGACCCCGAGTGGGGCAGGCACCCCCCAGCTCCAAGTATGAACACTCAACTGAGTACAGTGTACTGTAATGTCGTATGAGGTGTTTACAGACTTCTATTAACTCCTCTGCCTATAGTAGAAGCTAGGGAACTGCAGGCATTCCAGTCTTTCTGGGCACCTGAGGTGTCATAGTGCAGGCTCCAGTCTGGTGGCACTCCTTTGGACATTTTCAATTGACTGACAGTTTCTAGCATATCTCAGGGGCCAGATGGGGTGACAGTACAATACTTCAAATGGGGAAGCACCTCACTTTTGAAGTAAGTCAGTAAGAAGAGTCATAGTATCCTTGTTTGGGTAAAAATAGTTCAACAGGTAAAAAATAAACTTGGTTTAATTACATTACAGTATTTCAACACATAAAATAAGGGCATACTGTAGGAAGCTAAGTTTCAGTATTGTTAAATATCCCATTTGTAATACAGTACTAAACCATACAGCAACACAGTAAATACCCAGTCAAACTAAAATAAAATTCTCCAATACCGGTAATGTTTTCAGTCTTCAAGGTGAATTCTAGGAACATCTTGCAGTTTAAAATACAGTATTCCATTTTGTCAGGTGAACACAGGCTTTCCAAGGTATGCTGACCAGTCAATACTCCCAATAACTGTGTACAGAAATGTTTGTTTTTAGTTGTCTGTACATACCATTACAACTCATCATTATATAAAAAAGAATACTGTACACATTTTCTTTTATTACCCAAAAAATTTATTTTATACAGATCTTTTACTTAGTTAACTAAACTGGACAGAAGACTTAGAAAACCCCTTCAACATTTACAACTACAGTAGAGGATACAGGTGCTGCATAAATATTTGGAGTACAGTACTGTATTGTTACTGTATTTTTTAACAAAGTTCAGACTCAGAGGAGCCCAGTGAAATGACTAGCATACAATAACTACATAAAAAATATATAATTTTTATATGAAATTATGATGATAACAGTAGTGTATTAAATCTGAATAAACAGATCAGATATAGAGTACTGTATACAGTAGCACCATCTCTTGGTAAAGGAATTATGTAGAAAAAGATGAACTACATTTGTGTTCCACATTCTCCCATTATAATTAACCAATCCTGGTTCTCTGTACTGTACTGTATTCTGAAATTTTGCTAAAATTTATGATTAACTTCATTATCCAGGAATTGACAATGTTTACCTAATGTTTCAATAGATTTTTATAACTACAAAATGTAGCTTACAGAGATAGAGTTTTGAGCATGTTCTGGATAAAAAATAAGTCACCATTACTCAAGTAAGTGCATTTTACATGCTAATTTTTGTTTCTCTAAATGTACAAATCATCAGATATCAACATAGTAAAGTTATTACCTCTTAAAATATCAGAATATCAATACGATACATTAAATACTAAGGAACTATAGTGACTCCACGTGTCTGTCCACCAGCCAATCACCTGCCTTGCTACAAACTGACCCTGGGTTTCAGTTGCAAAGTTATAGTGAACAGACTATAGTGCACATCCTAACACCTCTATTTATGCATTAATGAAGCAAAAGAAGACTGCTTTAACATTAAAAAAACAGTGTGAAATGCAGTATTGAGGCCAAATAAAGCAGGCAACAGTGTCTCAACATCTCTTTCATCAAAAATAATGACACGTACAGTACAGTATAAGATGGTGAATACAGTATTCCAGTAAAGTCTTGTTTAATTTATTTTTAATGTTTTTCTTAAATATAAGGTCAGACATATCTCTACAGGGAAATTATTCATTGATATGAAATAATATTAGAAATTACAGAACTGTATAGGCACTTTTTTTGGCCTGGAAAACATCCCTATTAAATAAAAGAAATAAATGACTCTTTATGCAACTCTTTTTAACACAACACCTGCACAGTGTGAGGGCTACTTGTATAACTTGGCCAATTAATTTTACCTTTTATGACTAACTCTCAAATAAGTTAATCCACTGCTTCTAAATTTCCTCAACACTCATCCAAGTTTCTTCAAAACTCTGTAGAGATGAATATGGTAACTCCACTCCATGAATACATCTACACTGCATTAGATTTTTCAATGACCTCAGAAGCTCAAAATTCAAATTTCTTTAAAGTTAGGTGTTGATGAAGTTGGTTTCTCTCTCTCTTTCTGGTATTCCAACTCAATCTTCTCATTTATCATCTTCCAGTCAATCTCAACCTGTAAGAGAAACACAAATTAGTACATTGTACAGAACTGCAGTTCTGATATATTGCCATTTAAATTTTATGACAACTTTATTTGATTACTACAATGTGTTTTGTTTTTCCATATTGCTATCCTAAGCATCTCTCTTGCTAAATGGTGTAGTGTAGAAGATGATTGCCACGTTAAGCCTTATGAGTTCTTTACAAATGCAGACAATTTGGAGTAACCCCAAATTGTGTATGATGATTGCAGAAAGACCGGCCAATGCTTCACTAAACACACCTTGTGTCAAGAAACAGCGAAAGAGTATCAATTAACAAGTGAAATTAGACATGAGCGTGGTGAAGGGACAATAAATGACAAATAACCTTGAGAGGGAAACATCCACACACATTTCAGTTATATTCTCTACTGTATTTTTTATTGATTCATAACTGTAAAAGTGGAATGGTGAGAGGACAGGCACCCAGTCATAAAATTTACTTAAATTTGCCTGATAGCAATAGGACAACCATGTCATCAGTTGGAAAATGGATGTAAATCAATAAAGATGATGATGAATATGATGAATATAAGAAAAATCATCCCAAGCATCCCAAAATTACCAAACAGCAATGCATTCCTCCTAATATACATGGTTTCTTATGGAAAAATTATTTTTACACATGGCAAGAATTTTCTGGGTATTGCTTGGATCACTAAGGGGCTGGGAAATGATATAGCAGTTGTGGGGTCATGGGGGTAGGCATTTGAGTTCCATGATTCTGTTTGGATGAGGGCTATCAAAAAAGAAGAAAAATTGAGAGTGAGCAGTCATCCTGTGTAGCACTCACAAATGTTTAATCCTCAAGTGACTTAGTTACTTTTCTTTACGACAAAACAAAAAAGTTCTATAACATACCTGCTTTTCATATTGCAAAAACAGTTTGCTGGTTTCTTTCTTGTTAAATCGAGCCGTATAACGTTGTCTGTAAGCCACTACAGTATCAACATGTGTTCGGTGCCTGATGGCTAGCTGGAGAGCTCGTTCAAAATTGTAAGTGTTAAGGTTCAACATAATGGCCCTGAAAAAAAGACCAGACTGAACCAAGAGGACTTCTGCATCTCCAACATGGCCTCCCAGTAATGCCATCTCTGCTGATCGAGCCTCTTTTATTGGTATTTCCTTAATGTAATGAATGTACTGCACCTTTTCAGCTTCATTAATCGCTGCATATGCTACTTCCGCTGTATTAAGTTCTTTATTGGCTGTAGCCATGGCTGCCAGACATGCCCACACAATATCATCTTTAACAAATCTTGCTAATCTAACAGCATCATCCCAGTGTTTAGTAGAAACATAGTTTTGAAGTAATGCTGGATATGGGGAAATATTAGTAGTTACCAAACTACCATCTGCACGCCGCATTGTCACAACTGTATCTAGAAAACTGTCAATCACAGCATTTTTTCCATATTCAGCAGCATCTTTCTCAAGCATTGTTTGTGACTGTAGATCACGATCAACAAACACAACTGCTGGGTAAAACCACACTGTGAACTTGGAGTCCTGAAGAGCAGCAAGCATATTGGCTCCATCATTCCAACAAAGAGATTGTACCATCCCACCAAGTTTGACTGCTCTTCCCATGGTACCTACCCGCTGCAGAGTGACTAAAAAGAGGTCTCGATTACGATCAACAGCCGCCATGCGCCTCTCATGGGCTGTGCCAACCTTATCTAAGGCCACTTCCATGATTTCTAACTTATGAGACCATGGTTTGCCATCATTCAGAGCTTTACCTGTTCCAGCATCAAACAGATGCACCATTTTCTCGTCTGTCTTATCTCGAATGGCCAATGTATCATTTGATAATGATACAGTGCGACTATTCAGTACATCTGTCCTCATTCCTGGCCAGCGTGGTGCACACAGCACACGCCCATCATATGAGTAAACATACACACTTCCACCATCCACTAAAAGGAAATGTCGTTCAGCCTGAACAATGAGGCTGACATTCGATTCTTTTAGTTCAAAGATGAAGGGAGTATTCCAGTTGCGTGTGGAATATATATAACCTTGAGTTGATGTTACTATAACCATATAGCCATGTGATAAAGAAACTTTAATTATGCGATCTCTGAGTTCTAGTTTCTCCCAAGCTTCATTCGTGACATCACGTAGTGCAATTGTTTTACGGCTTGTCACAGTTGCTTCATAATTCTTCCATTCTAGGTGGTTTTCAATGACATGTGCAAAGATAACAAAACCATTACCACAAGCACCAGCAACTTGTGTGCCATCACTAGACCATGCAAGATTGAAGATACTTCCTGTTGTGGGTTTTTCCAGTGAGTGACACCATCCAGCTTTATCACACAACCGAAGTGTGTTAAATGAGCCAACTGCAAAAAGCTGGCCATCAGGTGACCAAGCAAGAGCAGTAATAGGATGATGGTGTTGGGCAGAGGAGTACAGCTGGCGACCAAAGTTATCCCAAACACGGTACCGAGTGTCTTCCCCTCCTGACAGGATCATACCAGTATTGGGGTTCCAGGCCACCTTCAAGATTATTCCCTCATGAGCTTTCCACTGTAAGAAAGAAAGAAATATTGAAGTCAGACTTGCTAATTTGTCAAAGGCCAAATTATTTTGACTAAAGACTAATACAGTACTGTTCAGTATAATAATCTTTGAGTGGGTATTTTTCCTTTTGAAGAACACCAATTATTAATTCTTAGTATGGAGAAAAACCTTGCAGAATATTGTGCCAATAGAGGAACTTCAAAGGTCAGATAATGATAATAAAAATGATGATTGTCCGGCACTCTAGCAAAAGACATAACAAATTATTCCTGAAAACCCATATTGTCCCTAATACATATCAGACTGGATGGCACACATTCTGCACCACTTTAACACACACATTTAGAACCCAGATTTACTCTAAAAATAATGGGTGAGATAAATCAGAAAACTGGCCTTACCTACCTATACAGAATGGCTGAACTTCACAATGAGACCTTTATTGCTACCAGCTGAGTCATTTTCATAAGAAGAGCATTACTGTAAACCTGCAAGTTTTTCAGTTCAGTATGTGAGTTGCCCTACCATACATTATATTAAATGGGACTTCTGAATCAATCCCTCATTTTACCGACATGTTTAACTTAGCACCAGGCAGGCAGGCACGTGTCAGTGTTCTGAGTTTTCACCCATAGAGACTGTGTACTTGAGTCAGCTGAAATATGTATAAGTTATAAATTAAAAAGTATTGTCCTTACTTTTAACTTCAGTTACAAATGAGGACAATTTAAAGTAGTGAAATATCTCATCTCATCTTTCTCACCTGGATAGGTTTAGAGTTTGGTGCTAGTGGTTTGATAATAAGGGTTGTACCAGCTGTATAGAGAACAGCATCTGAATCAGGGGCCCAGGCCGCACCATACACTGGAACTGATGCTTGTGCAAGCGTTGATCGTAACATTCCACTTCGAGACCAGATTTTCACCAAACCATCTTCACCAGCTGCATATGAGGAAAAACTACAAACTCAGTTCAGATGTAAGCCACATAAGTCTTTTGGGAGCCTATGGTGCATTATGAGAAATTTTGAAGATGGTAGTTTACTTTAACACAGGTAAGATTCTGTGAAAAAGTGTAACAAAGCTTAAACTGTAAATCCATGGGAAATTCTCTGGCCTGTTTATTCTGGGATTAATTCCTTCCAAAAACTGTTTCAGCATGTGTGTGTGTGCTCATGACAGTGTAGCCTTTAGCTTTTCCAACCTAAAATCATTTTCAAGACGGAAGGAAGAGAAAAAACATACTGGATGTGTATGAAGAACATAAAAAAGCAACATGAACTATGCTGAAAGGATCTGTAGGTTCTTTTGTATGGGTGATGCTACTGCACAGTAAGATAAACTGTACATCCCCCCCACCTGCCAAAAACACAATGGGATACAGTGAGTTCTGCTGTAACGCGTGTTTTGACAACGCGAATTGGCTCTAATGCGATTTATGAATAGAGGAACGATATTTGTAAAACGCGAACGCTTGTTTGCTGTAACGAGATTTTTGCTTAGTATTTCTCCAATTTTGTGGTATTAACTGTGAATATGGTAAAGAAGAATATCTCCAAGAAGCGTTCTGGTGATCGTAAAAGAAAGGCTATAATCCTTGAAGAGAAGCTCGATGTTATCAACCTCAAGATCACCCTTCTCCCCCATCAAGTTATATTCATATTTTTTCAAGGTAAAGTGTTACATTTACTGTATGATTTCATTATTAGATATGAATGTCACATTTATTTAGACGGTGCTCTCCTTTGTGTTAGGCTAACTATAATTTTTTTTTTTTTCGAGTAGTAATATGCACCTAATCCTATTTTCTCCATAAGCCCTGTTATTTCTATTACGCGAATTTTTATAACACGATGTTTTACAAGAACACAACTATCGCGTTATAGCAGAACTGACTGTATTTTCAAAATCTACAGTTTCTTCCCAAAATACACTACCTGTAACAAGACCAGCTCCATCGTGGCTCCAGCGACCAGTCAGCACTGCACCACGGTGAGCTTCTACTGACTTTTCAATACGACCATTGCGTCCAACTATGTAAAACTTCCCTGAAAAGGGAAATTTGGAAGTGTTAAACCATAAATTGTGAAATTACACATTGCTCTTGAAAACGGTTAACTATACGTATAAGAAAGACTGATCCTTAAGTTCTATTTTATAGGTGAACCTAACCCAGAACACAGAAACACTGTAAATGACAGATTGATTCTATTGGATACTAAATTCTTCATTTACCCTTAAGCCCCGGGTTAGGATGCTGCTGGCAGTACCTCCCACGTGGGGGTAAATCGAGAAAAAATCTAAACTTTTCCAAAAATAATTTTAACCTTTTTAAATGATAAAACAATAAAAAAATAAATAAGAAAAACTATATATTGACCCTCTAGAAACTTCCCTGGCAGTGCTGAGGGAGGGAGTGGGGGGGGGGGGATATATGGAGACAATGTTGTTTTGACAGCTGAGCTCGTGGTCACCTACGCACTTACCAGCTATTTTAAGGTTGCCTTTGTGTCCGAGATGGCCAATACATATATTTACTGATCAAAATACTTATTTGCTATAAATAATTCATTTTGAATATTTTATTTGCATTATTTTTCATAAAAATTGCTTGGCAACACACACGCAGTCGGTCACCAGACTGTCTGGCTGTCTTTGTGTTTGGTAGAGCAAATAACGAATAAAACAATAATAATTCCACAAATAAATACATTTATAACATAATCATAGCATTATTTTACAATAATACTACACTACCCGGTACTTTAAGGAATATTACTTTGATACAACATGATAAAATTGACAAACAATGGAAGTGAAACAAAACAAAAGTAGGTACAGTAATTATGTTCAGGAAGCTTCCCTGTGGCTGATAGTCACACCGGAACCTGATAACCCGAGCTGAGCACTTAAACACCAACGGGCTATGGCGCACGTCTTAGTACGTCACCCGGGACATAAGGGTTAAAACAGGACACAGGCAAAGCATGTTTCATAAAGGTGGATAGGAGAGGAGGGACATTTCTCAAGTTGCTTTTGCTTATAGGTCTCTATAGTATGTATGGCAAAGGTCAGGCAAGCACTGCCAGTTACATAGTAATACAGTACAGTTTATGAATTCCTTAATTTTATGCCTATTAATAAATATAACAAACCAAATTATCATTGTGTAACTGAAAGATATAGGCAACCTACTCATAACCTTACCATCAGCTGCTGTCATCAAAAACACTTCTGACCCAACTTTGGTCTTTTGTGCAGCTGTCTTGGGAAGCCAGTGTAAGTCCAGAGGGTACAATTCAGATGGCAACTCTGATAATTTGGTTGTCTCAGTTGATACTAAATTCCACTGGAGAAGCTGATGATCATCTCTGTATGAATAATGAAACAAATTAGTGCATATTAAAATATTTTATTTTATTTTATAATTTTCAGAGTACAGTACTGTACAGTATCTCCTAAACTTAGAAATTTTCTCTGCATGCTTTGATGTCATAGACAAAACAACAACACCAGAATAGGAAGAATTTTTCTCGAAATTCCAATTAACACTGAAGTCTAGATCACGAAACTGTACAATCAGCAAATTTAGAAGAGGTAAAACTTAAGTTCCAGGCCCCAACTTCTAACTGGGATCAGATAAATTAGAATATTAGATTATCCACCACCTCCATACCAAGAAGAATATTCACATGTTAAGAATATACAGTATCCTAAAAAGAGAAAAGGTTTGAGGAGTTTGCTGTGAACACATCTGTTCATTTGTTGACATCGGTTACAACACTAAGACTTGATAATATACTCCAGTAGGTTCTTCACAATACCCCAAAGGGTAAGCTTAGACTCAACTATAAAAGAGTATATCAGGATTATTTATAACCTATGGATGGATCAAGTAACTCTGCATTCTGCACCAAAGTTAGTTAGAAAGAGAAATTGAGGTACAGTACAGTACAATACCCAAAGGCTCTAATTATACTTGCATACAGCATCAGGAATCTGAAATACTGTATAGTACTTGGGACCTTAAGGCTTTTGGCAATACATAAGTACTTATGTTTGTAAATAAATCTATCTTAGCTTTCTCCTACACTCAAGTGTCACATGCTGCTTACAATGTTTATGAGGCAGACTCATAGTCTATGTGTGTGTGTATGGTGGGAAGAAAGAGGTAACTGTTACACCTGGGAGATTTAATACATCACCCTTGCTTGCATAAATGGGGAATGTCATGTGTATCCTAGTTTGTGAGTCAGCAGCCTGTATTATGAGAGTAGCCTGGATTTATGGCAGAGCCGGAAAATACCAAAAATAACTTATAAAAACAACACAGTACAGTACTAACCCACAAGAATAAACCTCATCAGGAGACACCCATCCTACACAGGAGACTAGATCTGTATGCTTCGGTTTATTTTGCAGTGATGTTTTAAATCTCATTATGCACAATCTGAAAATGGAAAACAGACATGTGAAAACTTTTATTCATATCTACTTTGCCAATACAGTAATACTGTGTGATAAAACCAAGAATACCATGTATTATGAAATGGCATTTCACCGTTGATTTCCAACATGACGATTTATTTGCAGTAGAGGTTTATGCTGCTTTTGTAAAACAACTCATCTGGTTATCTTAATTACCAGTGCATTAAAGTATACTACAGTACTGTACAGTGCTAGTAAATAGGAATTGAAAACTGATTGTAAGGTTTAGTAAAGTCTTATAGTTAATCATAAGCAAATACCTGTATTTGTATTTGTTTTTCTGAAAATAATTCTATGAAAGATCTGGGAAGGTCAAGATCCACTGGTTCATGTCACCTGATTACGAGTATGATGTTACAGTAGTATTTAAGAAATAGTACAGGTTGTGAGTGTAATACTGTAGTGTGGTATATGTCCAGGTTATAAATCTTAGTAGAGTTATAATTTTTTTTAAATTTGTACATTGGATAAATGTACATAATAGTCTAGGAGAGGGTCTGGTTAACCATCTACAATATTGTTAGTTCAGTGACTTTGCCTTAGAAGAGTTTCATATCTGCACATTATTGTAAACGCTTCTTCCAGTGACGGAGATGACTTATTGTAGTAAAGATGAAACCAACTAAACTTTACCTAACCTACCTTTCCTAGTGAGTGTGCATACTACAGCAACCATGGAATTTAAAAAAGAAAAGAAAAAAGTGGTTTTCTGATGGGTTTTGATGCGATTAGTTCAAATCTGATCATTGTTTTTGTCGGAAATCACTCGTTTGTGATTTAGCACCCCCCCCCCCTCCTCCTCATAATAGTTCTATCGATTGCGTGTTTTGAAATCCCGGTACTCTTTGCTTTTTAACTTATACCATATAACCAAACTAAACCTTACCTAAGCCCCTACCGGGGGCTCTGCCCCCGAACCCCCAGTGACCCTAGACTTCTCGAGGATATAAATAGCCGTTAGAGTATTTCTTACCTTACTCCGAGTCAGGGCCAGAGTCTGAGTCAGGGACCAGAAGGTGTTGTGGGTTCCTCTGTTCTCTAAGGTTTCCTTTTTATTAGAATGAAATAATACGATAAACTTCCAATAATCGAAATCGCACCCAGAATGTTATGGCTCCATCTCCCGCATCCTGCCGTCCCCGCCCTAGATTTGATTGGCTGCGGCCACCCTCGATTTGATTGGCAGTCGCCCCCCCGACACATGTGCGGGAGGTAAGCGAACCTACGAACACACACAATTTGAACAACAGCGTACGGGCAACAGGTGTTCTGATTTTATTCTTTTTTTAATTATATAGCTTCCTTATTATCAATTTGCGACGGAAATGTAACATAAGAAAATGATGAAAATATTGAAAAAAATAGTTCTATCGATTGCATGTAGTGAATTTCCGGAATTCTGTGGTTTCTGCAAACTTCATCATTACTCCTTTCCCAGGATGGAAGTGTATTACTCTAGATTAGGTTGTCAGGTTAAGTAGTTTGACGAGGGTGTTACAGATATTTTATCTTATCTAACTGTCAAAAGAGGGAAAACAAAAAGTTGCAAGTCCTCCACCGTTTTATGGATATTGAATTGATGAGAAAAAAAAATATTACTTTCCTGCTTGCTCCTTCAGAGTCGGTTTAAAATATTACCCCGGACTGGTTGTAGGCATTGGGAGGTACTGTATATATAACGTACAGTAGCTAAAACAACTATCTGTGCAGGTGGAGGTCGATATGCTTCGTTATTTTACGTGACTAGTGACAGCCCTCATATACCAAAATTTATCGTCCATGGTCTCATATTGTTTCCCACAAAATATACACAGTTGTTTTAGCTACTGTACAAGTAAAACCAATTCATGTGAAGAAAATTAACTGCTTTAAACCCAATCATTAAGGCCAGGACCTATAAACCTACCTAAACACGTCGTTATTCCTGAGTAAATGACCAGATCCCGACCCTTGACCACAAGTCCTGGCGTCGCGGGAACTGTTGAGGAATGTAAACAAAGGATCTGGAACCTTTATGTTTGAACCCCACAACGAACCCCTCAACGAACCCCTCAACGAACCCCTCAAACCGAACCTTTTACCTTACCTGGGGGAGAACACTGTCAAATGTCTTCCTAAATCAAGTAAATATTTTAAAGGAAACATAATTAGAGTTAAATAGTGTAAAAGTTGTGAGGCATAAAAAATCGACTGGGTATATACCTTTAGTAATGGATTCGGGTTCGGGTTTGCTACAACGTTCAGAACTCAATTAAATTAATAGTTGAATTATTCACACATATAACAGTTATATTACCAGAGAATGGAAAACATTAAATTATTTTAGACCTTCCTGAAAAGTGAAATACTGTATAAAAAACACTGTTATAATGTTGGATATACAGCTATAACTCAAACTTTGTTCATATTTGAATTCTCCGTCACCATGACAACGACCCAAACACTAACACAACATTCCTGTGGTGGACAGAGGAAGCAGAGTATTGAAGTGTTCTCCCTACAAAAGTTGTGGTTATCATGATGGAATGAAATTATATAATGTTTACAGACCCTATATCATAATTGATAAAGTAATTAATTAACTTAGAAGACACAGCCACAAATACACAATAATGGTAAGTTGTTTATTTTCTATCTTCCTTATGACACCGTATATTATTTGTATTAATAAAGTATCACGGTTCATTGAAACCCAATATATAATTATTTTTGTATTATCATTTTAAGAGATGTAGTTATTCATCGAGTACCAACCCTGCCTCGCCAGTTACAAGGACATTTGGAAATCCTACTTATTTAGAGTGTAGTTTCCACTCTGTTAAAGAAGTGATAATAGTGATGCTTGTAAAATTGTAATTGATCTATTCAATTGTGCACCCTTTATATCAGGTTAGATGTTAATTGGACTAGTATATCTTTATTCATTACCCTATAAGTCCTTTATCTGTTTACTAAATATAAAGACAATTTTAATGTAAAGTATTTCTTATATTTCATGATAAAATCTATACATGTACTGTACTGTACAATTATAAGATGATAATGCAATAAAAATAACTTACTTTTCCAGATACTGTCACGTGCAAAACCTGCTTTGGCTTCAAATGCGGCAGCAGAAGTTAACTCCAGTGGTAACAAGAAGGTGTTACCTAAGTTGGACGATTTTCTAAAGAAGCGAGACTTTACAGGAGCTATTACTCTATTGGAGGTACAGTATATACACATTGTCACATGAAAAGTATTACTCCGATAATAAATCCTCGAGATACCGTACCTCCCCTTCTCTGTCCTTTACGTATTTCTCACTGTACAATACAATTCTGCTACTGATATTGCCTGTTTTATCTGTGTCTACTTTATCCTCTTTTTATTTTACCTTTTTAAATTGTTTCATAATATACCCAGTACTTGCCAACAGTGCATAACAGAGACATAACCGATCGCCCAAGCGGCTAACGAGCCGATGAGTGGTGAAGAGGATAAAAGTAAAAAAAAAAAATGATAGCTCATAATACTGAAATATAATTCCATAAAATATTAATAATATTAATAATAATAATAATAATACAGTATTAATTTCTGTATATACCATTAGATCTGAGGTTAGTGTACATGACAAATGTAAACTGATTCTGAATTTGGATAAAAAATTACATAAATTATATGAAACTTTACAGTACTGTACAAACAAATGGGATTAACATATTGGAGCCAAGAATTTACTAGATATAAATACAGTACAGTACTGTACTACAGTCATGCAGTTTATTAATTATTGAGGATTTTGGTTTAGTTTACTAATTTTTTTCATCTTTCCAGTTTCAGCGTAGTAGTGGCAACACAAATGAACTAAATGATCAATGGATTGGATATTGTGCATTCCATCTGGGTGATTATAAACGTGCACTACTAGAGTTTCAGACCCTTACAGTGCATCACAAGAGCCCAGCCCCAGAAAACTGGATCAGTCTAGCATGTTGTTACTTCTACTTAGGCATGTACCCTGAGGCTGAGGAGGCAAGTTCCATGATTGGTCATGAAATTTGAGTATTGGAAGTTAAACTGGGATATTGTATGTAAGATTAACTTGCTTGTAAAAAAATTCTTGTACAGTACATCTAAATTGTTATGTCTCCTCAGTCAGCAGAAAAGGCTCCAAAAACAGCTCTTCGAACAAGGCTGTTTTTTCACCTGGCACACAAATTTAATGATGAGAAGCGACTGATGATGCACCACCAGCAACTGGAAGATGTAATCGAAGACCAGCTTAGTTTGGCCTCTATACACTATCTACGTTCACACTATCAAGAAGCCATTGATATTTATAAGCGTATATTACTGGATAATAGGTTAGTCAAAGAGACTTAAGTTAGGTTCTGTAAGTCATATATTTGGAATATCAACATTTTAAATTTTTTGCCCAAACAAACTTTCAAGAGTAAAACTATTAAAATCTTTGTTTATCAAAAGAGTGTACTGACCCCAAGGATGAAATGTATAGTCTGAGTGAGACTATTTCATATACTCAGTCTGGACTATTGTGATTCAGTTGGGTTTCTGTGATAAGCTAGTGGGTATATAGTAACACTGTATCATTTGCCCAAAAAGGTATTCACAACTTTCAGTCATGTGTTATTATAGTAATATATAATATTTACCACTGATATCTTAAGTCATACATTCATTATCAAATACTAAATTCATGTTTTGAATAATAAGATAAAAATACAATCTTCCTTCAGTGTACATTATTCTACTCATGATAATCACAGGCAAAAAATTATATATCAAGTAACTGGCCTGATTTCTTATTACTTCAGAGAGTACCTGGCACTGAATGTGTATGTGGCCTTGTGTTACTACAAGCTAGACTACTATGATGTATCTCAAGAGGTGCTGGCAGTGTACCTCCAACACTACCCAGACTCTCCTATTGCTATAAATCTCAAAGCCTGTAACCATTTTAAACTCTATAATGGGAAAGCTGCAGAACAAGAACTAAGAGCATTACAGGTAAGCTCCACTGAATGCAAAGTTGTTTTTTCATAATGTACAGTATATGGTACTGGTGTGGTTTTGGTGGATGAACTTGTTGCTGATGTGTGAAAATGAGTATGTAAAGCGGCAGGTTTGTGAGAATGAAGTAAGTTTGGAAATATTTAGCAAGTGGTGGTGGTGGTGGTACAGTGGTAATGCACATATCTTTCACAATTGTGTCCTTGCCCGGGACAGACACGGAAAGGGTGTTATCTAATGTGACCTTACCAGATATCACAGGTTTCCTCCTGTACTAACACTGGACAAAAAAGTTTATAAATTATTTAACCCAAATGGTTAGCAAGTTGATAAGTGGTGAAATGATACAGTAAATTAAATATATACAGTACAGTAGTGATGGAAAAATGATATTTTACATGGCCCATCCTGTTGTAGAATGATTATGAGATACAGGTATAGTACTGTATTGGTTACTAAGTAAAAATATTGTACATTACTGTACTGTATACAGGTATACAGTATCTTTTTTGTGAACAGATTAGATAATAGGCTTTGTCAGTTTTAAGGAACTTTTATTATTAGTACAGATGGAAGATGGGGGGAAATAAAATTACCTATCACTTTACAGGATGTGACATCTTCTCCACTAACATTTGCCCAAGATCTAGTGCGGCACAACTTGGTGGTCTTTCGAGGTGGGGAGGGAGCACTGCAAGTCCTCCCCCCTTTGGTTGATGTTATTCCTGAAGCTAGACTAAACCTAGTCATATACTATCTTAAACAGGTAACTACTGAACTGTATACAGTATAAATATTACCTTTTGCCAAATACTGTATTGATATAATACATGTATAATATTGCTGTTTATCACAATCTTCAACGTTGTTTTGAAAGTTGATAAAATAAAATCTGCAATAAGAAAGCCCAAATATTTGTAGTCTGTATATACACTAAAACCAGTTGACAGCTGATGTAACTTGGTAAAACTTGAGACAAACAAGTTACAGTACTTGACTTCACTTCATGTTGTATACTGTACAGGTACACTATGTTTGTTTTATTCTTCACTGAGATGTACAGTCAGCAAAAAAAAAAAAAAATTGCTGCACCCCTGTGGGTCTGACAGTCTTCACAACAATCACTGACTGAGGCCATGTTCATTTGGTAAGGTTGGTACAATACTTTTGATTGTGTGATGCATTGTGTAACCAATGAAATATACTGTACAGTATTCCCTATATCACATGTACTGCAGTTAATACAGTAAAAAAAAAATTATATAAAAACACACGGGAAAAGGGAAACAATGGAGCACCTTAGCTTTCGTCTTTATTCAAGACATCTTCAGAGGTAACTGGATTACATGGACAGAGAGAGGCTTAAATATACAGGGTGACCTTAAAAACATGAGGTCAGGTTATAATGATCGTCATCCACTAATCCCCACACCAACACATTTTTAACCTTGGGCCACTGACAAATAAATTTATGTAACATATCAGTTTTGAACTGACCATCACTAAGGTTTATTGATTTTAATTCCTTAATCAAACTAGCTTCAACCAGAAGTCTTTCTGTGACACAAGATGATTTAAATACTTCTAAGCTTTTTTCCCAAGCAATGGGATGATTATTATTCCTAACATGAACGAACAAGGCACTGCTTTCAGATGCTGTTCTGATATTATACTTATGTTGTTTGATTCTGAGCTCAGTGTTTTTCCTGTCTGTCCTACAAAATTACAATTACATTTGCTACATGGAATACAATAAACACTTTCATTTACATTCAAACTTGGGCTATTTCTTATTAACATATGTTAACAATATGTTAATAAGAAATAGCCCAGCTGTGCAAGATAAAAGAGAAATACTGTATTGGGTTCTCCAGATGATACTTCTGATCTTTTATCTTTAAAAATGTGAAATCAATGAATCTTTTCATGTACTTCCTGTCCCCAGGGCAAAGTTTAGGTTAGTTCCAAACTCTTGGAGAAGAATATCAGCAAAGAAAGCAAAGGTATCATGACACAGAGGTTAAATATGTCTAAAAAGAGCTTGTTGAAATGCCGTAAACACCTGACAAAGTTAAACCATTAAATACAACTTCAAAGTGTTGATTTAGGTCAATTTTGTCTTTTATTTAAAAGTGTTTGTGATGTTAGATTCTACATAAGAGCAACATGCAGTTTACTTTGCATGAAAATTTGACATCCTGTCATTAATTTTGTGGTCTTTCTTTGCAGGATGAAGTACAGGAGGCTTATGCTCTCCTGAAGGACCTAGAACCAACTGTTCCACAAGAATACATTCTAAAGGGAGTAGTTAATTCAGCCATAGGTCAGGAAACAGGATCGGTGAGTGCCTAAGAGTGTTATCTATTGGCCAGTCACATTCTGTCCTGGAATGATTAACATTCTTTAACAAGAAGTTGCTCCTGCAAATTTCAGTTAGAATTATTGCTGCAATAGATTTTTTCTTCGTAGAGTGCTGTAATATCCCACCTGTAAATGAGGTTAAATAGAATTACTTTAATTCTCTTTATACTGTATAATGTATATAATTCACCTGAGCAGAGTACAGTATCATGTACTGTATTACATCCACAATTGGTAATAACAAACAACATAATTATATATGGTTAAAATTGTGAATGATAAAGGCTGAACAGTCAGCAATAATCTAGGGATTTAGTTTATATTATACTAAGTACAGTACTGTACATAAGAATAAAGTTCGGGTCTGTGCTTATATTACGCTGTTTTACAGCGTGAAAACTTGAAGATTGCCCAACAGTACTTCCAATTGGTGGGTGGGAGTGCCTCTGAGTGTGATACTATTCCTGGGAGGCAGTGCATGGCATCCTGTTTCTTCCTTCTCAAACAGTTTGATGATGTCCTTCTGTATCTGAACTCAATTAAATCTTACTTCTACAATGATGATACATTCAACTTCAATTATGCTCAGGTAATGTGCAGTTTTATATGTTTTTATGCTCTGTATGATTAAAACATTTGTATGACACAAAACATGTTCTTCATGTTTGTTTGTTTCTTAAATTATTTATTCGGTAATTACTAATGCAATATGGTATTTAAATGTATACTGTACTGTATTTACATGTACAAGTATTTTGTAAGCTTTCATTATAGAGTAGTATTGTACTTCTTATTTATTCACTTGTCTGGATAAGAACAAAAAAATGTATAGTTTACACACATACTGTACATGCTTGCATATACTGTACTGTATAATTTATGTTAGACAAGCTGTTTTTTTGTGACTGTAGGTAAATAAGACAAGTTTTTTTTTTTTTTTTGTATCTGGACAGGCCAAAGCTGCTGTAGGTGATTACAAAGAGGCAGAAGAAGTTTTTCTTCTTATACAAAATGAGAAGATAAAGAATGACTATGTATTTCTCTCTTGGCTGGCCAGATGCTGTAAGTACTGAACACTTATTATTTTGATTCTTATAGGTTTCTTTAAAGGTGACAAGATCCACCACAAGGGCAGGATTAGTGGATCAACAAGACAATATGAGTGTTTGTTGATAGTCATGAAACTTGTCATATGTAAAGAGAAATTAAAAAGGAATACAGTATGGTTATATATATTGCAATGCTGACTTGCTCTGGAGGTATATTTTTTCAAGTGTAAACTATCCCCATTTCACAGAATACCAAGAAAAAAAACACATTATACATTCATAATGACATGAACACTCCAAAAATTTTGAATATGTCAGTTATCATGACTTCAAACAACTCACTTTCCTGATGTTTTATGCAATCTGTTTCCAGAAAATTGGCTCAAATGTTGAAGGAAGTTTTTAAAATGACGACTGACCTATACATACAGTATTAGACATCGTTTTGGCATATGAGGTCAAGACAGTTTTTGTTAAAATTTCATACAAAGGTACTTCTTTATATGCTGGTCAAGGGTCTGGGTTATGGTTCCCAGGTTACGTACGTCCGACTTCCGAACATCAACCGATATGAACAAGGTCCCATAGAGTTAAACTTCAAATTTACAGTATATTTTATTTACCTGATGACTTATTTTTTACTTTCATTTACTGTATTTTGTCATTCTATTTATTATTTTCTATTAAATGAAGTGATATTAGATGTATAGAAGGATTTAGGCTATGATAAAGTGAGATTTTAAACATTGTTCAGTAAGTACAGCATGCACATAGAGTTTGTGGTTCGACTTAAGAACATCCATAGGAACGAAACTCGTACGTAACCTGGGGACTGTCTGTACTTGTACCTGGGCAATATAGCAAAATTGTTTGACAAAAATCATGACTAAAGAAGCATGCCACACCACAGTTATAATTACTCAGTAATCTCAAATCTTCTTGAATCTGGTTATGGTAATTATATAATTTTGAGTTAAATGATTAGTAACAAACTATATGCTGTACTGTATACTACTGATAATTCATTTAATTTTGTTTGATTACATCTGGACTTCTGGCTCAGGCATGAAAACTAATATTTTTATAATATTATTCCTCAGACATTATGAACAGTAAGCCCAGGCTAGCTTGGGAATTGTACCTAAAGATGGAAACATCAGCAGAGGCCTTCAGTTTATTGCAACTAATTGCCAATGATTGCTACAAGATGGGTCAGTTTTACTATGCAGCAAGAGCATTTGATGTTCTAGAGAGACTGGATCCCAATCCAGAATATTGGGAGGGCAAGAGAGGTGCTTGTGTGGGCATGTTCCAGATGATAATTGCTGGCAAAGAGCCAAAGTAAGTACTGTACAATAATATATTTTGCTGTAGTAATGGAAAGGTCATTTAACTTGTAAGAAAGCTTGCAGAAAATGGCCACCCACTAGAGGTGGCCATGCCAAGGGAAGGAGGCCAGTGGCCTGTATAAGATCCTTCCATTGTTCTTGATATACCGGTACTGTATGTAATGTATACAGTATTTATAGGTTCAGTAATGTACTTGACTACTACATTTGTTAATGCAACAGTACAGTGTACTGGGTTGATATATTGTGGTAAAGCTTATGATATAAAAAATACTAAATACAGCTTTGGAACTCTTGTGTGCTTCCGTGCTTATATTTATTCAAAAGTATAAAGGTATGTAGAACTACATTAATTTTTACCCACTTTTACTAAATCTGAGTTAAACTTTTTTATGACTGATGTTTTAGGATCTTTTATAGTTATATGTTGTTGTTGTTTTCAACAGGGATTCACTTGGTGACATCCTACAGTTACTTCGAAACACTGCCAACCCCCAAGTGGAAGGAATCATCCGTGTCATCAAGAAGTGGGCTAAGGACAACCATATACCAGTGTAGCATTTTTAACTGTGGCATCATAACATACAATTTAATAAAGTGTCTTTATTTAATCCTCTGAATGCTATGGTCAACTTTACCGAGTTTATTCTGGGTAATGCCAGACGATTTTATTCAGCTGAAGGGAACCCTTAAAAATCAGAGGATTAAAAGTGTACGTACTATAGTTCATTTATTTATATTAAAGAAAACTTTGTTTTTCTTTTTGCATATATATATATATATATATATATATATATATATATATATATATATATATATATATATATATATATATATATATATATATATATATATATATATATATATATATATATATATATATATATGATTTTAATATATGAGCATTATGGTTATTCTAGAACTGAATCTCTGGTCAATAACATTATTCCTCATTAGTCTGAGCCTAAGTTTATCCCTTTGCTCTACGTACATGTGTTCTTTCAACATTTATCAACTATATTTGTACAATATATTCATACAGCATCTCATACTTGTCATAATCATATGATTATTGTAAAACTCTTTTAAACATTTTTATAGTCCTGTTTTCCTAGTTTCCTCTACATCTATTTTACTACAGAAGCTCTTACCTCTAATCATTCATTTATACAGTACATATAAATACTGCCACCATGTAAAAAATTTTCCCAGTTTTATAGGACTCAATAATCCCTGAATCCTGCACCTAATTTACCTGGTAATCTAACCTGATCCAAATTTGAGGGGTGCAGTTGGTGAGTTGGCTACTCCTACTCCTAAGGGTTGTGGTTTGATTCTGTGACACCCCCCCAGTCTACCCAGATATGAATGGCTACCTAATTTTGCAGATGGGAAGCAAAGGCAGCCAAGTACAATTCCATCAACACACTCTTCTTGTGTACTGAAGGTTTAGTCTAGTACAGTAGACCCTCGCCAACCTTGGATTTCCCATCCGCGGATTCTATGTATCCATGATTTTCACTCACTATATCATTTTACTATCCACAGCATTTAATTTTATGTATCAGCATCTTTATCCCTCCTGCGGTCTAATATATTCCTCCACATAAAGTCCCATCTCCTGCCATTGCTCTCCATGTTCTCTCAGTGTTATGATCTCGTAGCGTACTGATGTACTGTACTGCTCCGTATTCTCACACATTTTCTATTGTATTAACATTTATTTTGCCCTTAACTGTGGCCCCAAAGTGTTCATTGAGTGTTAGTGATAAAGGTGAGAAGAAGGTGAAAAGGGGCAAGGAAAGTAATGATATTAGAAAAAAAGTTGAAGTGCTTGATAGACTGTTGCATGGGGAGAGTATAGCATCAGTGGGGTGCATTATGGGCCTCTGCCTCCCTCTTTGTAACAACCACCTCTCCCTCCACATCATCCTCATCCAACATCATCATCAATGTCGTGAAGGTAAATACCCCTGTACTGTAAATTTTTTATTACTACAGTATTTAATTCATATTCAACAATTTTTTATGTATTTGACTCAAATTTCATTAAATGTACAATACAGGTAATGTTTAATGGAGGAACAGGCATATTATTAGGCTTTGAGGAGCGTTAATCATGGCTGTGGAACCTAACCTCCTATTTCCAATAAGCCTTTAGTCTTGCCAACCACGGAGTTTTTCAGGAACTTAACTCCCGCGGTTGGCGAGGGACTACGGTATACTGGTACTGTACATACTGTATTATGTTGTATCCACCAATTCCCTGAACAGGCCATCAGGCTATGAGCCTCACTTCTGTTCCTACCTTAACTTTTTCCTAGCACAAGGTAACCAAACCTCCTCAAACCCTGACTCATTTAGTTATAGAATCTTTCGTTGTACAAAGTAGGTAAAATACTCGAACTTTTATAACTTTGCCATTGTTAGGAGGTGAGCCATAAAGAATATATGTATTGTATGCAAATTACATTTATAGAAGAAAATATTTTATTTTGGAAATGAGGAGTCCAGTATTTTTCTTTAATTTTCCAGCATTTTTTTAATTAACAATGAGTTTAGCTTCTCATGTTTTATGTAAAAATAATAAACAGGAGTAGTTCCACCTTTTGTAAGAGGAAAATGGAAAAGCATGACTAAGCAGGTCAAGGATGTTGTAAAACTTTTAGGGCTGCTAAAGGGTAATATTCTCTCCCTGTAAGGCATTAATTGTTATAATGTGACTGCTCATTGTATACTTACAAGCAACTACAGTGCAACATAATGTCCAAACATGCTTTATAAACACCTAGTCAAACATATAGTAATGACTGGAAGTACAAGGTAGCACCTAAGAGGGATTAATGAAAGAAGGGAAACTAAAATATGTACAGTATTTGTAAAACTTCTTTTCTCCTAGTCCAAAAAAAGTCAAATTTTAACAAAAAACATTAACATTTATAAAATATGCAAAAACTATTCCAGCACTCTGAACATCTAATTACTATACAGTACTGGTATGCAGTCCAAGGCTGCATGCATGTACAGTACAGTATATTATAATATTCATTGCTCTACACTGGATTTATTTTGTTTACTCCTGCTAACAGTCTTGGTGGGTGAGAAGTACACATATGGACAAGGGTTAGTACAGTAGGGACATAAACAGGAAAATTTGCCCAATTTCCAAGTTTAAAAATGGTTTTTTAACATCTTTTCTAGTACACTTATCATCCATATATCATTCAGTATACTATACATCCCCATCCATCCATCTTTATACATACAGTGTATTATTTACTCTCTTAAAAACTTCGTACAATTTCCTTCACCATCTCAGAATTTCACAACAATGTATTTCACAATTCATTACTTCTCAGATCAGTTCTGCCACCTATTAAGGAAGTACTGTACTATCAAACTTCACATTTACCTCTACAAAATACAGTATAAAAACAAAAAAGATTTCAATTGTACCTGTACAAGTAAGTTTAACTTTTCCTCATCAGTTGGTTTTTTTTTTGTATCTCCCTGAACTAGTGTGATAGAACAGAAACACTGTTCTCTTGTCTGTTAAGGTAACTGAAGTATTTCTATAATGTGCACTATATGTGACCAGTTTTCTATATGAATTATGTATTTCACTGTGATAAAAAAAATATATATATAGGTATTACAATGTTAATAGGGTAGTTTTTATCTCCTTGAATACTATGTAATACTGTAATTATGTACTTTTATAATTAATGGCTAAAGCTACACTACCCCCAAAATAATAGGCACAGGTACAGTACAGTACTCTGAAATATACTGTACTGTACTACCCTTTGAGAATGCTACATCAAAAAATATGTAGTAACCAGTGGCAGATCTATGAAGGGTTGAGGTCTGTCTGCTGTGGCCCCCTTACCCCATGACAAAATCTCTATATATACACTGTACTCTCACCTTACTTGAAAAAAGAAAGTTCAGATAACGTGGTTCAGGTGTCCTGTTGACTGATAAGGAAAGTGACGTATTTTCATCAGATGTTGGTTTATGACACTTATTCTACCATTATCATAAAAATAAATAAAAATAAATAAAATTTAAACGGCTTTTGCACACTGTACAGTATATACAATAGGTAAATACTGTACAGTACTATATAAAATGTATTTTAGCAAATCACATGAATTAGCATATTTTTCGATATACAATATATATATATATATATATATATATGATGCTCGTCTAAATGTTCTAAAATCACCCATTTTAAGACTAGGTCATTACATTAAAGTTGCCAGGTGGTTGTGTGCCGGACACAGATATGCTTCCAACAACTGAAAAAATCGTTAATTTGTTTGGTCGATCTTGGGTCACGTTGACTAGATTCAAGTTATCGTTTTGACCTCCAAGTTTCATTATAATTATCATGTATGAATGATTTATCAGTTTTTAGTCTTTAGTACTCTGTACTGAATTTCTTTTCTGTTAAATGTAAGAGTGCACCTATTGTTTGATAATCTTGTTCATGATTAGATTTTACATGGAAGTATTAACATAATTTATATTAGTAGTGATTTCTGTTGAAAATAAGTTAGCCGCTGCCATGGTTTTCGTCTTACAAATTACACTGAAGCATTGAACTCGTTAATAAACAAATTAATTATTATTTTATTAGGTTATCTTATTAATAAGACGAATGTATGAATTACTTGCCACGATCTCATACACAGGGCTCTTCAGCCAAAATATTAGATATCCTGAATAAATAATTGCACTCGCCCTCGTACACCTTGACCATAATATTTTGGTGCGTATCTAACCCTTGGTAAAAGCGGTGAATCTCTCATTCTTTATTATGCTTCGCCCACAAGTTAAATATTCTGTCTGTATCAAAGCGCTATCTTGTGTTGCCTTAGATCAAGTCATTACCTGTGTTTCCTCATAAGGTTGCCTATATTGTACTAAATTACCCCTGCTGGCAACTGTGCATGTACGTCACTCATGATGAAATCAGAGTTGACGCACAGGCGACAGTGTTTCTAACACCCACCAAACCGCCACAACACGCTACTCACGGTAATGCAATCAAATTTGTACTTCATAATCAGGATAAAAGATGTGTCTACAGCACACTTCAGGTACGCCCATTTCGACGACTGGGAGCAACAGTAATACCATCATTACATCCCACTTGGACGATCGTGTTATATGCGATTTAACTTAACGTAAAGTAACATACCCTAACCTAACCTAACCCAACCCAACCTCTGATCATTTAACTAAGATGGTAAAAATCGCATAAAACAGATGATCGTCCAAGTGGGATTACATCGTGCCATCACAGTAGGTGATAAGGACACTTTTACATTCTACCATGGCTCTGTGCCCTGTGTATTTAAAACTATACACAACATATAAACCTTTCTCATATTCGTATTAATGTTCTAATCTGGACAGTCAACGATGTTTTGTGGCTCTTAGCGTTTGTGTGTGCTTTAATACGTGTATCACCACACCCTTAACAGCTACTGATATACACATCACGAGGTTTTGTACATGGCTCTTACCGTACAGTATACGTGCAACTATGCTTGTATACAGCAGGTGCGAGACAAAACACCTATACCTATTCTCATCTGACTAACCTCTCCTTGATGGGACCTTATAATTTAGTAAATTGTCCAGTTGTCTTCCCTCAACTTGACCTTACCTCTCCAAGTTCTAGCACACAATCACATATATTAGCCTAAATGGTTGCTAGTAAGACTTAATAATATTTACCCGATATAAAATATATTTCGAACGTATTTTGTGGCCGAATAACGCCCATCACTTGACTATTATAGTACAGGATATCTCCTAAACATCGACCAACAGCTGACGCGCGGGAAAACTCTAATGTACAGTATATTATAAGGTAGAGTTGCAACCAGGGAAAAAAAAGAAGAAAGCCTTTACCATAATGGTTTGAGAAATAATCAAAAGGCAATTGACATCTAGTGTAATTACAAATCTAGTATTACATGTTTAAAGCTGATGAAGCGCAGTAATGTTTATAACATGAACATTACAAACACGTATACATATAAAAATGAACACAGGCACTTAAACAAAGGTATACATTCCAGCTCATACTTACATATATACGTGCACATACACAAACACATTCATATATACGCAAACTAATACTGGTGTATGCACACAAATACACTCACAAACGCATACACAATCGCCGACAAACAACGTAATAAAGACCACTAATACCGAGAACTGGCAAGACAGAAACCGAGACCTCTATAAGTCGACACCGATAACGAGACTATTCGCAATGGTCACAGTGGGTTGATAAAAGATAGGGTGGGAATATGCTGGGGAGGGGGGGAGTAATCTTCAGGTGACTATTGTACAAAGGTCCATCATGAACTGAAGATTAGCCCCCCCTCCCTCCCTCAGGTAGCACCAAACACTCCTGTGTGGGGCGGCGGTCTTCAGTATCGTCAACATAAGCACCAAACCAGCAACTAGCTGAATGGAAATGCTCCAGGCAAGAGAATGATGTTTACCACTCTTCATCCTATTATACAAGCAGTGGTTCATTATTCAGAAAGTAACGTAGGGAAAGGTAGAGACAATAGAGTAACGTTACGGCTGAACTCAAACCTAACCAATTGATTATTCCCCTCCCAATAGACCAGAAAATAAATTCAAGACCGAAGCAACAGAGGCCTAGAAAAATGGTCTCGTGGTCTACAACACTGATACACAGACACAAACACATTCACAACTGCTAATTAATAAATACACGCACATACACACAAAATATACAAATACACACAAAACATACAAATTAATACACCCACCGACAAAAACACAAGCACCCACACCTACACCGACAAAACTTGTTGGTTCCGGGAAGTGAAGAAAGACGAACGCTCTAAACTTCTAAAAGAATATATTAGATTAACTACACCCTGGACCCAAAGTTGTGTACTGTACGTAAATATTACGTACAGTAAATATTACGTTAGGTTAGTGGTAGGTTAAGTTTAGGACAGACTATGCTGGTGGTGTGGCCCACCGTATGGGTTAAGTTAGACTAGATTAGTAGTAGGTTAGGCTATGTTGTGGGGTCCTGCGGTCTGGGTTCCCTATAAACAAGTTAATAGGTTATCTAGTTACGGCAGTGTCAGTGTAATTTCGACAGTATTTTGCCTCACACTGGATGTCAATATTTAGTTATCGGAGAAAGAAATGTTAAAGTACAACTTACAAAAGTTTTTTTTAATATATCAGTTGAAAAGTTGGGGTATGGTTAGGTTAGTATATATACGAGTATACTGTAGGTTCAGTCTGATACGAGTATGCTTAGAAGTATTTTATTTTTTGTTATATATAGGCCACCCAGGCACAGGTCTTCGAGCCACAACGGGGCCTAGGGGGGCGAAAAAATAAGAGTAAAAAGAAAAAGATTATATTAATCTACACCACGAAGATGCCGGAAACCAGCTTTTTGAAGCATATTATTTTAACCAAATAACTAAAATGGTTCAAATATTTCAGAGGCGTGTGTAATACGGGCAAGTTATCTATTTGAGCTTCCACCCACTAGCAGTGATAAGGTGTCTGGTAACCATGACTGGTCACCACCACGTTAATAATGACCCATTGAATAACATTAGTGATAACTAGTAAAGTAAAAGTGATATGGAAAAGTAGAGATTGAAAGATATAGACATAGACAGTTTGATACTGCTAAGTAGAAAAGGGTGAGAGATTAATTGTACTTTCTGGCGTTCTTATTACAATTTATTGGTAGTGCATATACATATAAACACAATCATGAATGCTTTCATAGCAATACTGTATCTATAATGAAATGTGAAACACATTTAAATCCAAGGCGAGGACACCTATGGGATTGTAGCCGATTTTTTTCACCACGTTTCCCACCAGCCTGTGCTGTACCCAAACATGACAACTCGCGCGGCGCCCGGGGCAAGCAGTGTGGAGCTGGGTATAGGATATGACGTAGGGTGACAATGAGTTCACATGGTGTTCTTTAGGTTTATAGTTACAGGACAATCTGTGTGTGTGTTTAGATAACCCAGTTTATTGTACGTAACTAGTGACTTAAATTTGGGAACTTAGGAAATATTGCATCCTATATATGAAACACTGTACCCTTTTCAGCAATCAGTATTAAGGTGTGGTTCAGTTTTCATCACAGCTTCACCAATTTTATGCACATCAGTCTAGCTCAGGGGTCACCAAACTTTTTTCACAGTGGGCCGGATAACTGAAAGAATGACGAGCGCGGGCCGCATAATCATTCTGTTCAATACTTGCAAGCCAGAACGAAAGCTCTGGTAACGTCAGAGCGTAGGCGGAGCTACCACGAGCCAGGGAAGGACTTGGGATCTGGCCCGCGGGCCGTAGTTTGGTGACCCCTGGTCTAGCTTCTACTTTTGCATACCAACAGTGTTTAATATGTATATTGTCAGTAAAGGGGAACGTAGAGAACCAGCCCGGATGGGACCAAGCAGCAGTTCTGAAAATAAGAACATTAGAATGGAGGAAACTGCAGCGGGCCTAGTGACCCATACTGGGCAGTCCCGTTTATACCCAACCCCTATTGCTCATATAAGCATCCAACCTATGTTTGAAGCTATCCAGCGTATTCGAGTTAATGATGATATTTGGTAACTTGTTCCATTCATCCACTACTCTGTTTCCAAACCAGAGTTTACCTATTTCACGCCGAAATCTAAATTTGTCTAATTTAAAACCATTGTTACGAGTTCGCAATTTAGTGCCGTTTATGCTCACTCGCTGTTTCCTGTCCCGTAACCATGCCCTAATCCATTTAAGGATATTACCTTTGATGCCATGCGCTTCTACCTTTCTAATTAGTCTTTCGTGGGGGACTCTGTCGAAGGCTTTGCTAAAGTCGAGATATACCACATCATAATTGTGCTCCTCGTCCACCGATTCGAAAACTGATGAAAAGAATGTTAATAGATTAGTTAGACATGAACGCCCGCTTTTGAAGCCATGTTGGGAATCATTGATCAACTTGTGCTTCTCCAGGTGGTTTCGAATAGAGTTTGAAATAATTGATTCTAGTAATTTACCTACTATTGATGTTAGACTGATTGGGCGGTAGTTAGAGGATAGTGATCTATCCCCCTTCTTGAAAATCGGTATTACATTCGTTATCCTCCAGGATTCTGGTACTACACCTGTTTTTAATGACATGTTAAACAACTTTGCTAAGGGCATACTAAGCTCTTCCTTACATTCCTTTAATACTCTGGCAAATATCTCATCGGGACCAGGTGACTTATTAGACTTCAGTTTGTCTATTTGCTTATTAACATCGTTACTAGTCACTACTATCTCGCTTAATTTGTTTTCTTCACTATCTCTGAATAGAGTCGGTGCCTCGGGTATCATGTTTAAATTTTCGGTGGTGAAAACTGTTGAAAAATATTTATTCAGATTATTGCTCATTTCTCCGTCGTTATCAGTTAGCTCGCCGGTATCTGAACGTCTTGGTCCAATTTTATCTCGTGTTTTAGTTTGACACATTTGGTAGAATCCTTCGGGGTTTGTTTTCGCCTTCCCTGCTACCTTCAGCTCCTCTTGGCTTTTTTTATCTCGGTCTTGACCCTACCGGCCAATACCTTATAATACTCCCGGAGGTAAGTTTCGCCACGATTTATCCTTCTACCTATAGCCTTCCTTTGGCCAATAATGTTCTTTAAATAATTATTTATCCATTTAGGGTCATTGTTGTCTGATCTGAGTTTTTTGTATGGTATGTTCTGCCTTTGTGCATTAAGTAACTCATTATTTAAATTGTCATGGAACTCGGCAATCTCAGATCTCGTTATCAGGTCGTGTCATCTGTCAAGTTTACCACTGTTGTTTTATCTACCCGATATAGTTTTATATTATATTCAATGCGCTTTATGTGTAAATTAAGGTATAATTAAATGAAGATAATTATAGTATTGACCATTTACCGGTAGTTACCAAAATGTGTAACTTGTCTACTGACGTTGGGGTCAGTAGATTGAAGCTGAGGGAATCCATTTCACTAATTAAGGAAACAGGTGTGGAAGCAGTTGAAAGATTATAACTAACCATAGCTCACCTAAGTAGACCTCGGTGACTGGCTCAGGGTTGCTGTCCCTTAATCAAACACCGTTCTTGGAAGTCTCCTGAAAGAGGTCCTGCAACGTCATTTGCTTCTTTAGATAATAAATCTTCAATGAACTCACACTACATTCCCCAAGAAGTTTTTTTTATTATTATTGCACCGTTATCAAGTTCTTGCAAGCTCTTTCTTGATAAACAGTAAAAGGTTTCATAATAGCCCTTGACAAAGTTATCAAGAAGAATGGAGGGAGACTACACAGGGAATTGGCCTCCTTCCCTCGGCATAATAAGGAAATGACGCGTCACCACAAGTTCAGGAACTATAAACAATAGACGAATGAGTTAAGGTATGTGGATAGACTGTAAACTAACAGCATGGTAAGGTGATAATTTGCAATATTCTGATAACTTTATTATCCCTGTACAGACGATTTGGATGGGAGACATGTTTTTTTTCTTTTGATTTTGTTAATGTTCTTCCCAATTTGGGCTGAGTGGTGGACATTGCACAGTGATTAAGCCCATTAATGAAAAGTTCCCAGTGAATTTTATCATAATTTTTCTTGGTAAAACTAAGGCAGATTAAAAGGCCTTGAATAATGCTGAGGGTTAACGTGAGATAGGCTTTCTCTACCCTCTTAGCTGTGCAGTACATCTTACCTTGGCTTGAGCAACCGTACATTATTGTAGTACTGATGATAGTCAGTATGACACCTATTACCAAACTTACAATTCCATATTTTACACACACGCTCAACAGCAAAATCAGTCAATCCTACGACCTGTATGGGAGGTAAAAGACATCCACCTATTTCCATCAAAAACGGCAGTTTAGTATTGCAATATTTTCTTCACGGACACACATACGTGCAGCGACTGCAATAACCCCCGCGACCTGTTTGAACGGGAGAGATTATTGAAGTTTATAAACCAAATTCGATGGATCGAGGAGGCGTAGTTTTAACGTGTGCAAACAGTATCAAATCACCCTGACACTGCAACGTGTACCCGTGAACGTGACTCAGTGGCGGCTTACGTGACTTGGTGCCTTCATCGCTCAACTTATTCACTCACAAAATTCACAAGAGACAACGTCATTTCCCCACCGCTATCAGTGTGAGAACAGACAGGCATGAGAAGATATCACTGCATACGTGACTCAGTGTACTAAGTCTACTCTTAAAATGATAAAGTCCTTTAATTATTATTTATGTTACCGATTCACAATAAGGAGTACAGATAAAAATGCAAGCAGATACAAATACAGGTAAAATTTAAATGTTCGAAAAGGCATAAATAAAATACAAGTACTGCACAGGTATAAATAATGTTCAACGTATAGGTAACATGATGATGATGATGATAATAATGGAGATAAAATGGCAATGGTTTGCCATGGGAAGGGAGAGAAGAGGAAAGATAGAAGGAAAGTTATGAAACGGGAAGTAAAGTAGTAGAAAATAAGAGCAGGTGGGCTATCCACCTAGCTGAGACGATTTGATTGGCTGTGGTGATGGCTGCACCAAGAGGTCGCCCGAGTTCAAAGGGGACGGGGGGCTAAGCTCGCTGGCAAGGAGATATTTGTTATTGTGTTAGTTGGAGAGGTCTACTAGGTCCTTGTGTAACTAGTAGAACACTCTCATCGTTTATTTTTAATATTATGGTCTAAAATAAGGTGTGACTGGCGTCAAGAAGTTATTTATGGGGTGGTGTATAATGGGTCTGGCTGCATCCCGGAAGACACAACTCAGCTCGGTAGGCCGCATATAGTAAGCTCTAGCTCGGTAGGCCGCATATAGTAAGCTCTAGCTCGGTAGGCCGCATACGGCATACTATAGTTACTACCTACTTTCAATCAGTTATATTGAGTGAGGGGGAGGGGGGACTGATACCATCGCGACTTGTAAACAAAAACGTTGGCGGAGGTATGTAGATGGATTTTTTTCTTTTTTTTCTTAAATACATACTGTTACTGTGAAATTCTCAACTGTAAGTCAATTTACTAAGAAATTGTCTGCTTGCGTACGTTTTTGGTTTCTGTGAACGGAAGTCCGGCACTCAGCTCACATCTAAATATAGCGGCAAAGTTCTGTAAACGAATTGCCAAGTCACTAGCAGCCGGCAGCGCTGGCTAACACGTTCCCTTCGTGTCCTGTCTACCCATGCTCCCAGTATCGCAACAGCTCTCTCAAAGTCTCTCTCAGTGCTCCTGGTGCTGACGTGAGCTGAAGAAGTTTTAAAGTGATACGTGTTCAAAAGACGTCCAAAAGTATTATACATTGTTCAACATATGTATAACAGCTACCACTCTCCCCAGATAATCTTCTCTACTTATTATTACTGTAAGTTATATGTCCTTGTACTACAGAGTTTTATAATAAGCTACTTTTATTATTATTACTATTCAAGAATGTCCACTGAAAATGAGGGTAAATAACATGCTCTGAGAAATACACTAACAAGCTCTGTAAAGGAACAACAATGAGCGTTTGTACACGGTCCGACTAATTACACAAATGTAGCCAAATGTAGCCGCAATGAAGTCAAATAATGGTCCTACATGAATAAATAGGACTGCTAATCACTTCTCGACTAGTATTTGGTGTCAGAAAGTCACAAAAAATTGGAAAACTTACTTTAATCTGAGTTAATAGATCGCGTGCATGTACCGAGGGAGCGAGGAATTACCCAAATGTACCCAAATGTAGCCGCAATGAAGTCAAATGATGGTCGTACAAGCGTAATTCGGGCTGTGAATCACTTCTCGATTATTATTTGGTGTCAAAGTAAAAAAAAATTGGTAAACTTAATTTAATCTGAGTTGTGTTGTTAGGTTAGATTAGGTTAGGTACATGCACTCGATCTATTAACTCAGATTAAATTAAGTTTACCAATTTTTTGTGACTTTGTGACACCAAATACTAGTCGAGAAATGATTGGCAGTCCGATTTATTCATCTAGGACCATTATTTGACTTCATTGCAGCTACATTTGGGTAATTAGTCGGACCCTTTGTACACACCGCCCGTCGCTACTACCGATTGAATGATTTAGTGAGGCCTTCGGACTCACTTATTCTTAGTCTATTAAAGATATATTGTACAGTACTTACTTCTTACTTTCCTAGAAACATGGAATTTGTCATAAGGTATTTATCTCTTTATTTTATTTTACTTTTTTTTATTTAAACAATTATGGATGGAGCATCCATTTGGACTCTATGGCAGATACACTAGATATAACACACAGTTATCCTAGTGAAATAGAACTGTCTCTTTACAATTCCCTAGATGTCTAAAGTATCCTTGGTTTTATTGAAAATACAGTATCCATAACTTTATAATGTCTTAAAATAAATATTTTTTACAGATGGCAGGTGTCGGCCTTACCCCATACCAGGGCAAGATGAGGGCATGTGGAATGTTCCACTGTAAGAAATGTGATAAGAACTGGTTTTCTGCTAATTCTTGGGCCAATACCTTCCAAAAATGCAAAGGTTGCAATGGCAAGATCTATCCTTATAAACAGGTAAGTTGTATGGATTTCCTTTTGTAATTAATGTAGTATGATATAAAATATAATATACGGTACTGAAGTTAAAATATAGTCTTTAATACAGGTAAGGTACAATGTGCCGTGCTTCCTTATTCCTTCTCAGTTATGTACCATAATAGCAATACTGTACTGTATTCACTACTTCACCGAGAAACATTTATTGATCTTTGTATAATTTTTAAAGTCCTCAAGTTTGATGTGTAGGACTTGAGTTGTGTGTGACCAAAATGAGTAATGATATTCAGCATTTACAGTACAGTACTGTATATAATATCCCTAATTACTGTACTGTATACAGGTACTGTACATTCTAACTACTGTAATGTGTCAATACAGTGGTAATGTTACACTATAAGTTAATATACTGTACTAAGTACTGTACAGTACAGTATAACAGTTTTGTAAGAGATACAGCCATTCAAATGTTAAGGTGGTGTTCATGGTGTTTTCACTGAAATGTACTGTATAATAAAGACTTGAGAGATATTCTAGTAGGAAAGATTTACAGGAGGCAGGGCCAGCACCAATTAAAGGAACTTTCTTGATATAATACATTAACCGAACTAATCTTATTGTAAGTTCTGAAAATAAAATTTGCTATTGCAGAGAATTTCATTCTCAATCCATTATGGTACAGTACAGTACTATAAAGTCAGCAACAGACACATCAGTGATAAATTTTTAATTAATTTTAAAATATAATTCATTTCCTCACTTACTAGCAGTTTGGGTGGTTGATCCATTCATTGTTGTGAACTTAACTGCTTAGTGTAGTAGAAGAAGTAACTGGAGTACCCAGAGGAAACCTGTGATGTTTGGTAGGGTCACACCCTTTCCACATGTCTCAGGCCAAGAGTCAAACCCATGACACAGTGGTGGGAGATATCATACACAAATTACCGCTGTATCACCAACACCCCCAACATCTTCTTGCTACCTGCCATTCTAAGCTCTTCTTCACTGCAATAACCAATCCCACCAGAGCTACTGAGATAGATCATACAGTATCTGGTCTAACAACACTCCTAACAATGTTACGAGTTAGATAATTTATCGTAAAATCTCAGATTACTCCCCAGTTTTGCTATGAAGAAAAACAGCCACTAAAATTGAAGACTTACATTGTCATCATAAAATACAGGGTTAACTGCATTAACAATATCCTCCTGTTCAAAGACAACTAACTTAATGCTAAGTGGGATCTTCTCTATGTCTCCAGTAACCCAAATGTGAATTGGTGCAACATCTCCAGCATCTACAGTGCCTGCTTTGAAAATTTTCTCCCCTTAAAAATAGGATAGATTACAGTAAATTAATCTCCAAGCCTTCTGTTACAGCTGAAACCAAGGATGTGGTACTGTAACAGAAAAATACAAACTCCAGAGAAAGTTTGTGAAAAGGCCCAAAACATTTAGTGCTGCTTACCAATGTCAAAAGAGAGTAACACAATCAGTTAGAAATGCCAGCTGTTACTATTATGAAATAAATTACAGTTATCATCAGACAACAACAGGAAAACTTGGAGTACTGTATCAGTAATTATATCCATAACAGAAGCACTCAACTTATAGCCCCACACCCAGGTTTTATGATGGATGATATACCTGTAATTGTAACAGAAGCCTTGCTACCAACCATTTTTTTTTTTTTTTAACCATATTCGCCACTTATCAGCTTACTAGCCGTTGGGCGGTTTATCCAGTGTTAGTACAGGAGGGAACTGGGAAACCTGTGGTGTTTGGTAGTGAGGGTCACACTGGATAACACCCTTCTCATGTGTGTCTGGGCCGAGGCTCGAACCCTTGACATATTGGTGAGAGTTAAGCGCGTTACCGCTGTATCGCCAACTCTCACTACTGTATATCACTTTTATCACTATTCGCTGAAACATTCCTAATCACCTAGAGGAATTTAGAGCCTACTTGTTCTTGTACCCCGTAAATGAACTAATGGATATCATAAAAAGGTCCAAAGATGCAGCAACAGGCACTGATTACATAGCAAAGAGCATCATAATGAAAGTGGCCACACTATTACTATCTGATCTCTTTCACGTTTGCAACTCCTCCTTTACTAGCAGTGTCTTTCCAGATAAACTGATAATAACCAAAGTACATCCTGCACATAAAACTGTTGATAAGAGGTCTTTTCAAAAACTACCATACATAACAGTCCTCCCTGCCTTAAGTTACTTGAGAACTTCATCTATGGCCATGTATTTGTGTGGCTGCATATCCATCTGACAACTATCACAAAAGATTTCCAAATAGGGCTCAATTTATGCTTGGGATCATATTTATGCATATTTTTTGCAAGAGTAATCCTATCCCTGTTCAGGGCTAGGGTTGTGAACTCTTGGAACAATCTGCCAGAGAGCAGTGTGATGGCACCGAGTGTGAGCTCATTCAAGACCAGATTTGACCATCACTGGTGCAGGTACAAACACATCCTGGAACCAGTAAGTGCCCAGTGCTTGTCAACAGTGCTTAATAGAAACATAACTGATTGCCAGGCTTGATCAGTGGTGAAAAGGATAAGTAAAGTCAGCCAGTGGAAGCCCTCTGTTTACTCCAGAATATACTCTAGTACAGTATAAGAAATTTAACTCTGATGCGAATTATAAAACTATTTTTTTTCTATAGGAAGTTAGATATTTCCTTACAAGGACATAGAGTGATGGAAGCTTTGATTTAGAGACTGATAAAAACACAACACTACACAAAATATTTAGATTGTGCTAAATGAGAAGAACAAACCAACCACTCAAATGGCTAGTAAATTGGTAACTGGCAAGAAAAATAAGAAAACAAAAACATCTCCCATGGGTTTAAACTGCAAACTAACCTTTTTGATCCTCCACCACACTATAACAACAACCTCATTAGTGCAAAAATGTGTACACATTGGCAGTACCCAGTGGTAAATATAAACTCTGAGCTTGATCAATATTTAAAATAATTCTGAGAAGGCAGCAATCCTACTTCATGTCAACTTCATAGTGATACAAACATTCCCCTTACACTACTTGATTGACCTGGTACACTATATTTAATTTAGGCAGCTATTATAAAGTTTTTATTATGTGGAGGGTAAACCAGATTAACTTTTTATCTCACTTATCATTGTTGCTGAAGAAAACCCACTTCTTTTCTCCTGACGGTGTAATTGACTTCCATATTCCCTTGTCAACAGTTCCAACCATGGAAGGGTACCGGTGCTCGTAAAGGTATTCCCCCACATCCTCAAAATCTGTGCCAGAGGTGTATGAAACTAGGAAGGTTTTGTGGTTTGACTATACGCAAATATATGGCAGAAGAGTAACCACTGCTGACTCCTATAAATCCTTAACCCACTGTAAAATCTGTGATAAAATGGTGTCTTATCTCAGCATTAGGAGAATAAATTCTCTACCACCGTGAATATAGTACTGGGACATATACAGTCTCAGTACAATACTGTACTTATGGTCATGTAAAGACCTCGAGACAAAAATAATACAGTAATAATAAAAATGTATACAAAATACTATAAACCTATCCTGTATTCTTACTAACTTTAGTATGTAAAAATACAAATTAAATTTTTTTGTTATTTATCATTCACTGTACTACATAATGCTACTTTTAAATTCTAAATTACTGTCCTTACTGCATGTACATTTTCCAGTGAACATTTCTCTTGTTACCGTTGGGAAGAAAATCCTTTCTACTGTATAAACTGCAGATTGATTTCCATTATGCTTTATTTTTTTTTCTTTGCAAAGGTAAGTTACAGTAATTAATTAATGATAGACTGTCTTCATCCTTGAGTAACTCCATAATTTTTAAAAAGGTTCAATATGTCGACAAATGTTCAGTACCTCCATGTATCATACAGCGTACTATACAGTTTGTACTGCACAGTATACTTTATTTTATCCTCTTCACCACTGTTGCACAGTATCTGGACATATATATTCAGTATATAAGAAAAACATCCATTTGTTTTAAATTACTCCTATTAAAAACTGTAAAATACAAAATTTAAAACTCATATAAATTATAGACCTTTTAAAAATTACCTGGCACTATACAGTACTGTATTTCCAATTCCAGTACTGTGTGTAATTCCTTTTAAAACACTGAAAAGTACAGTACTGTACTGTATTTACCAGACATAGGATAAATGATCAGAACATAACAGGAACAAAGTTAAAGTGGAGTGTCATATATTGTATACTTAGAAATTTTTATGATAAATATGATGCTGTACTGTACAGTATATGAAAATGTAAAAAAAAAATTTTTGTAAAGAAAAATTAAACATGAATTATCTTAATTACTTTCCTGCTAAAGTTCATGTTTCAAATTTTTTTTTATGAATGGCAAAATGTAAGTACTGTACTGTAGAGTAAAACAATATAGGTACTGTACAGTATACAGTAGTATAAAGTACATAACTGTTGTTAATTCATAAATAAAGGTACAGTCAAAGAAATAATAACTGATATTCAATCAATTAGACGAAGGACAGCTGAAAAAGCAGAGAGATGCTTGTTTCCAGTAGTCCTTTTGCCAGCGACAATGTCACCAATCGGGGGTTACAGTGGGCCGGATACGCGTGAAAGAATCCAGGAAAAAAGTCACGGAAAAACCTAACCTACTGTAACTTGACCTAACCAATGTACAATGCCATCACGGGTTTCCGATTTCAGTTTCCTCCTGTACTAATACAGTGATCCCTCGGTTAACGAACGCCTCAGTTAACGAATTACCTTCCATAAGAATATTAAATTCGGTTAACGAACAAAAAATTCAGTTAACGAAACTTTTACGAAATCGTGTCGACATGTTTTCGCTTGCTCACCAGATAGAATATTAGTTTGCCAATACAGTAATCGGTTCTTGGGCTTAAATTCGTTCCCATTTGAGTAAATATCAAGACGGTTGTACTATTCAATAATTTTCCAAGTTTTATATTAAATTTTTTAGTCATTTTAACATATTTAACAGAATTGCAGTACAGGAAACTAGTTTTTGGTGTGCCAATCAGCCACTCGACTCACCTAGCAAGGCGTCAGTTTGTATCTCTGGTCCTCTCTTGCTTGTGACTCTTGAACATAAACTATTCTTACGTTTTTACAGTACAATTATTGGTCATTCTGAAATTTAGTTTACATATTGACAATATATAGTGCAGTGCAGTGTTGATTTAAAGAAAATAATCTTGAATTACACCTAGTGAATTTAAAATTTTATGGGTGAAATGACAGCATGGGGTGATTTCTCTTCTCACCTTCTCCACCCCCACTTCTAATTCCCATCATCATCATCAGCCAGAAGCCTTCTACATACACACCTCAGAGTAAGTGTACTTTACTGTTTATTTTTACTTTGTATGTAATTTTTGGTGAGCTGGAACCAATTACCCAAAATCCCATTGAAACAATGGTTTCGGTTAATGAACGACCTTCTGGAGCGAATTGTGTTCGTTAACCGAGGGACCACTGCACTGACTACATTAACCGCCCACACGACTATAATAGTAAGCTTATCAAGAGGAGGAAAAATCTCAACTGTTGGTATTTCCTTTCTCTCCTCTACCAATTTGCCTGGGGCCTCCAAATGAGCCATAATTAATTTAGAAATACTGTACATGATCAAACTGTAAATGATAAAATTTATACCGTATAAGTTTCGAACTAGTTTCTGAAACATAGCTGCAGTACTGTATATTACTTAATTGTCAGGAAGTACCATAATTATATTGGAAGTGGCTATTGAGTTGGGTCAGCCGGTAAAATATCTCGAGGGCTATTGAGCCGGGTCGGATGGAGGAAGAATAGATAGGGGAATATGTAAATGAATGAGAGAAAAATAGAGGAGACAGGTGGACACCAATGGATAAACAGACAGCAAAACACAGTAGAACGAAGAACGTAAGAGGGAGAGCGGAAGGAATACCAAGAGATAGAGAATACAAATTACAGTAGAATGAACAATGAAAGGAAGAGGGGAATACCGAGAGATCGATAGATAAATAGAGAAAGCAAAATAAAATGAGGAAAGAAAGAAGGGTCCACAGAGGAATAGTATAAAGAGGTAGTATTATTGTGTCATTAACTTATAAGAAACAATAACTATAATAATACTAATATAAATAACAATATCTAGCTCCAAAAATGAACGGTTGTGAAGGTGAAGCCCAAATATGAACGCCAGTAAAGTTAAATGACAGTGGAGATGAACGATAGTGAAAATAGACGCTACTGAAAATGGTCGCCAGTGGAGAGGAATGTATATTTTATTTGAAATTAGTTGGGTACTAAGGAAAGAAGGAACATACGGATGCCAACATAAGGCGGAGGATATAATTAATAACTTAAATTATTCCTTTCCGCTTTGGAATTACGCTGATTGTGATGCAAATTTGAGCCTGTAACTTTTGAAACTTTTGAAACGTCATCGTGTACAGTATACTGTAGGCTGTGTGCACTGGCAAGGATAAGATATTTTCTTGTATACGGTGTTGAAACAGTAGTAGGATACAAGTGTTGGAAATACTGCACATAGCATTTCGTTTCGTAGTCACTGAAAGGCTGGAATTTCATAGTGAATTATGAAATGAGCCAAGGGGTGGATTTTCAAGTGATCCAAAAAATCATATTGAATTATCAGTACAATTGTATATTCTGATATACAATTATAACTGTATAAGAACAATATAACCTGGGAGGTACCAGTGTGGGTGGAAGTGTACAAGGGTAAAGCATGGTCACATCCTCGTACCGTGTATTTCTATTGTAGAATACACATAGAAGTCCCGCGTAGCTTTCTTCTGGCTCGTTCTTTAATAAGCAGTGAATAATTTGAATATAAATGTCATATATTTTGCACGAGATAAAAATTAATCACCTCTATCACATTACAGTAGTGATTTAAGAGTTCTAGTATATATATATATATATATATATATATATATATATATATATATATATATATATATATATATATATATATATATATATATATTGTCATGATCGTGATGACGGCTAACCTGAAAACCTTAAGGATTCATATTACGCTCAAACGTCCACAAAACCTTCTGAGTCCCCCAGTGGAAACGTCCTCCGTTTTCTCTGTTTCCCCGTCTTTGTTTAGTGGGAACTTTGAATATAATCCACGGATTTAGTAGCAGACGCTGTATGTTGGGCCCTGTTGCCATCCAACCCTTTGTAATCAATTTAATTTTGCTTTTGATAGCTGAGTCAGAGCGTTGTTAGTGAAGATAATAGTAGGGAATGAAACTGAGTTCATAGTCTCAATTTCAACGTCAGAGTGTACAGTGAATTAATTCATCGGAATAGAAGTAGGTGGACTCCCTGGTCTGTTTTGAGTGAGGGCCCCGCGGGCATTTCTACCATAAGTGAGTGCCCGTCCCTTCATCCATACAGGTATGCCATTCCACTCTGTGTTGTAATTCGCCCTTCTTTAAGTGATTTGACCCAATTAATAGTTGATTGTGCAAGTGTTACAGTAACGTAGTTGATATGCTCTGAGTGAAGTCATATTTACGTCTTTAACTTCCCCTGAAACGTGCGTGACAGAGACGTGACCGATCGCCCGAGCGGCGAGCGAGCCGACCTTTTGGTGAAGAATATAAAGGAAAAGAGACGTGACCGATCGCCCAAGCGGCTAACAAGCCGATCAGTGGCGAAGAGGATAAAAAAAAAAGTAAAAAAGTGATGTTGTTGTCACTGTTAGTGAGTGCCCGTCCCTTCATCCATCCAGATCCCATTGTGATTCTTGCATCGCTCTACCATCCAACAACGGCCTCGGATGTATTGGATGTCCAGCCGGGATCATATATGAGAAGATGGCACCGATGCGGCCTGATTAATGTGCTCCACGGCTTCGTTGGACCAGACCCCAGACCCGCCATGTGTCTGGCTACCCCACAATAACAACAGCCCCAGTGCTCTACCCTGGGTTACTCCTTGGAAGTATATGTCCACAGAGAGTGTTGTAACATGTAGGTTAGGGATAATTAGTTGGAAATAATTATCCCGTGTTGGGTAGTGGACCCCTGCATATACTAGTGTCATTGTTTACGTATATGTTGAATAATCTACAATGAGTGCCATGTAATGTACCACCAGTAATGTTGTGAGTAAGAGTAAAGAAGGTACTGAGTTTGCACTAAGCCCAGGAGGTGAGCCTGGTAATTATATGATTAATACAATATCTTTCCCCCATTGATTGCATATTAATAAATTTGTTTCTAGAGTACTTTAGGTGTATTCATTTCTCCCACAGTATTTTACCTTTATTTCCATCCAAGTGACCTGATACCAAAATTACCATACTCGCGTGCCTAGACCCTCGACCATGCTACCAAAAGAATGCCCAGGCTACCAAGAATAGGTGACGGAACTGAGTAAGAGTAAGAACTAAGAGAAGTAAATAAGATGAGGGTGGTGTAGAAACAGAGAGGGAACCGGCTCCCTCACATTGGTGGCAGGCCTAAAACCCGCCCCCTCACGAGTAATAAAATGAATTAAACTCATACACAGATTTACAAAAGTAAACACATACACGAGGGAAATAGATAAAAAGTAGTAAGTCTTTGTAAAGAGAAGACATTAGGCTGTACTAAACAAATAAACTAACCCAGACGACGTTAATAATTCTGGGAGAAAAGGATCAATACTGTGGGACAGGTAAAGGGGCGAGTCCTTCACAACCACCTGAAGAGGTAAATAGGGGGCGATAAAGGCGTTGGCGTCACGGTCGCAGTGGGGGCTCCCAGGGTGGCCACTGGCCAACAAACTTAGTAACAGGGGACGGCAACAGGGAGGAATGCTCAGCACGTTGCGCAAACAATGGCTACTCACCTGAAATAGACTTGAATCGATCACAAT